AGACCACCATCATTGCACTATTATTTCCCTCCAAAGGGCCAGTGATTTATTCATCTAAAATTTTCAAATTCATAAGTTTTAAATAAACTAATATCATTCATCGAAGGGGCTGTGATTCATTGGTTTAAAAGTTCTAGTTGGTTTAAGGAGGGAAGCTCACATTAATCCGCATTATTTCTAATCTTCAATATCTCTTTTTTTATATTTAAGATAAGTTTGGATTTTCTTAAATTAAATGTAATTTTTGAAAAAGTATTTAAAACTATCTTAATAAAAATAACTTACCACTGCTATCATCAAATTTCTTCAAATTTCCAGCACCTAGGATTAGCACCAACACCTAGCACCAACTGTCACGCTTTTATTATTTTCCTTTTGTATACTGTATAATCAATTGTCCAATGAAAATTAATATGTTTGAAGATGTTCATGTTACTTTTGTGGTGTATATTGCATACATATATAGTTAGTAGCACTTAGGGAATGGGCTTTCAGATCAGTCCATTGAATCACTGTGTACCCTTTTTAAAATATTAGACTCACCCAAACGTTACACTATCCAATGAAAGAAGGGATTTGAGTTACACCCATTCAAATTTTTGGCGGAAACAGGTTTAACAGACAATATTAGAAATTATGAACATTTTGAAGAAAGAGATCTGAATTCAACAGATAAACACTGGATTACTGGAACATGCTAATTTACAGCATGGCAGATACATCAACAGGGAATTGTGAATTTGGTAAGTCACTTTATCATAATTTTAAGTCCAGAGTAGGATGTAAAAATAATTTAGAAGAGAGGTAAATTAAAGGTTTTGTGTAAAATCGGGGTGACTGGATAACCAGGTTGCCAGGTGACTGGGTAACATTCTTAGCAGGGCTAGGATTTGATTTTATGCCTTTAAATGAGCAAATTAACAGTCCAAGCAACCAACATCTCATCTATACCAGTAAACCAACCAACCAGCAAAACAAACAATCACCAATATCATGTCAATCACTCAGGCAATAAATCAAGTCACACATTAATTGACAGCTAAAAATGTCAATTAACATTTATAAGCGTGCGCACATCTTCCAGATTTGTTTACTTGATCTATTATAATTAAGTTCACTTTGGGTTTTCACCGTCATGATAAACCATGACATCTCAAATCTTCTCAGCCCTGAGATGCCATGATATAATACCTTGATTTGGCGATCCAGGAGAGCCAAGAATTGAGGATTTTTGAGATCTTTCATCCCATCTCATATTTCATTTGATTGGGGTCTTTAAACTTATGAACATGTGTCTGTGCTAATATCTGCTGTTAAATACAATGCCTATTATGTTCTGTATTGACATTAGGTAATTTCATGATAATTTCATGATTTCATGATAACTATGACACTTATTGACAGTTATAACTCTTCCCATCTGATGTGCTCAGATCACAGAATATGCCTCATAATATCAGAGCATGTTTCAGGTGAAACAGAAAGATGCCATGAGTATCAGAATGGTTTTTTTAAAGTATGAATCTTTATATAATTAGATATTGGACATGAGTGTAAAATGTTAACTCCCCGGGATTTCCTAATTCAGTCAATTTCGTGTTCATTTATTCAGTTGATATTGTGTATAACCAGGTATTCTGATATTATTAAAACATTTTTATTCAAAAAGTGCTCAGTCTCTTGTAGGTTTTTGATGAAAAGATAATGTTTGAATATCGAACAGTATAGTTTACACTTAGGAGGCTGGAGTTATCATGTCAGTTTGCTACTAGGCCTATATTAGGGGAAAATGTCCAGCTTTGAAAGTGGGTAACCTTGCTAGACACATTAGGCACCCTGAGTCACCGGTTACCCAGTCATCTGTTTATTACACAGACCCTAAATAATATACATCTCTTCATTTAAATGCTAGAGTGACAGCCAAGGAGGATTGGCTCCCAATTAAGCTTATATGCTTACATGTACAGATAAAATCTTATTTACAAATAACATTACAATACACTCCTAGATGCATGTGCTTGTGGTAGAAAACACAATGCAAAACTTACTTGGTAAATAGTAATGAGATGGCGACTAAGGTACCAACATTTGAAACATGGCCAATATAAATTTAGTTTTAAAAATAAGTGTTTGTTTTAAATTCTACTCAATTAATTCACTTATTCTTACTTGATATTGATAGACTGATAATTAATATTTCAGAAAATCCTGTCAAACTCTCATGGCTATATCAGAAGGACGTACACATGAGCCAAAAAAGAAAGCGATTAATCTGAACAGTATTATAGAGCGAACAAAGTCGAGGTCTGCAGAAAAGGTATGAGCATTACATTGAATCAAAACACAATAATGGTCAAAAAGGTATATTCCACTCAAATTATTATATTCCATTACACTCCATATGAAATTTCATGGGTGTTATTTTCCCGGTTATGTTATTTTTCTTTATCATTAGGAGTGTCTGTCTGCTTGTGTCTGTCCATCAGTCAATTTGAGTCTTCATGGTAACATAGATAAAACTGTATAATCTATACTATTTCAGGTTGTAACTGGCAAATGCCCATTAAATCAGGGGGAACCGGAGAGCCATCCAAATAAGACAGAAGATTTGAGGTGGAATACATAGTAGGATATAGAATGAGTCCTGGTGAAGCAGTGAAATTTGGTATGGTTGTGGAAATTGGACATTAAAATTTACTTTTAACAGGATATCAAACTTTATATCCAATGGCATCTACTGTACCATAACTGTTGACAGGGAAGAATCCCACAACAAATCAGAAATAAGATCAACTTACAACAAAATTAAGAATACATTGCCACCCTTCCATCACAATTCGAGACACAGATAAATTCTATAATCTCGTATTTTGACAGCTAGAAATTGTCAAATATCTATCAAATGAAGTGAAAATGACATGGTTCACTTTTCCCTTGGATTGTACATTGTATATTATACCTTTTATATTTTCTATATATTTACTAGTATCATAATACTTAACAGCAGATGTTGATTGTAAATAGATCATCAATTTTAAATCAGTTTCAATCATGTGATGCAGAATGTACTTTAACATCTCTGAGTTAAAAGGATCAAATAAATGAAAATTCAAATGAATTCGAATTTGTAAATCTTTCCCTTAAGTTCACAAAGTGTGAATTTTTTGTATGTACTGAGTGTACTCAGAAATATGTGCTGAAATACAGGGTGTCAAATAAGTCCCGTCCCCCCCCCTCTACAGCTAAAACCAAGATATTTGGTACCAAGTGTGATATATCATTGGAAAGGTCTTCCAAAGTTACGTTGTTTGGCATATATATGACACATGTCAATCAATCCCACAAATCTTTACATTGTATCAATTGAGGTGACCATATGCCTAGAAACGTGGCAATTCGGCGTATTTGGCAGGATTTTAAGAATCGGGTATAAGAAAGGTCAAGGGACCAAAATATGACTAAATATGTTTATGGCGATAAATTTGACCAATTTCTGGATAGGGTTAGATGTGTAAAAAATAGAGGTACAAGGAAAGTGGTGAAAACCTTTTTGTAACAAGTGGAATGCGAAAAAATTAACTTTTTGACGTATTTCTGAGGTCATATCCTTGTCATTTTGACGCAAAAAAGCTACTTAAAGGAGGGCACGTTAACTATAAAAGACATCATAAAAATATAGGTAAATTTCATCCAAAATACTTGAGAGTTGGTGAGTTAACATAACTTTGGATGATCCTCCAATGGTATATCACACTAGGTACCGTCTGTTAAGGTTTTAGCTGTAGCAGGGGGGACGGGACTTATTTGACACCCTGTATATTATTGAAGAAGTTAGACATATAATTTGATGAACCTAAGGTTGAACATATACATTTTGTAATGATGTACAGTAGATTAAACCATGAATTCTGTCACTGAGAAGCATATAGAAAAATAATTTGTTATTTTCTAATTACTATGATGTGAATTAGAGTATATTATGTCCATTTCTGTCAAAAAAGTATGGATAATGTGGCCATAAGCAACATTGCATAACTTAATAAGTGTTTACCTCACTATGATCAGTCCATGTCTGAATTCAGACGGTTGAATCAGTTTTTTAACATGGAAAAGCTTATGTCTGAATTCAGACAAAATCCCATTATAGTGAGATGAATTTGTTTATGTGTCTGAATTCAGACAAGACTTCAATCTGAGAAAATTGATACTGATTTCCAATGTCTGAATTCAGACACAACACATAAGTTAAACAAATTCACCTTCACCATTATCAAATTGTGTCTGAATTCAGACAGTTGGAATCAGCATATGTTTTCTAATATGGAAAAGTCTGTGTCTGAATTCAGACACTAAAGATAAACAAATTCATCTTACTATTATCAAGTTGTGTCTGAATTCAGACAGGGAAAATCTAGGTTTCTTAATGATTAGAAAGCCGGTGTCTGAATTCAGACACATAATATTCAAGTATAAGATACACTATATGTTTAGCTAAGGAATGTTTCTGTCTGAATTCAGACAACTTGCTTCCCTCTGAAACATTTGTACCTGAATATATTTAAGAAGATGCAATGAATAAATATGTCATGAGTAAAAACACCCATAAAACAGTTTTGTTTAATACTTTTGTCAAACTGGAAGAATGTCAAACTTCACTGGAACCTGTTATAGGATGTTCTTATTATCATACACTTACAAGGAGTGTACTGAATGTATAATATCATTGTAAAATGAATTTCATTCCAAATAGAGTCAATTTGGCGGGAAATCAACAAGCTGAGTATATCGTCACAATATCCTCCACATATTGGGTTTTCCGGAGAATATCGTCACAAAATCCTCCACCCGGAGTATATCGTTACGATATCCTCCGGATATTCATTTTGCCAATAAATATCAAATTTATTTTTTCATGTTATTATACATTTAGTACACTAAGTGTAGGATAACCTAGTTTATTCATTCATATCTCAAGACTATGATATATAACATATATTCACCTCTGATCAATATCTTCAATATTGCACTGTAAGACTTTCATGAGCAGTTTCTTAATTGTGTGCGGGGATTTGGAGTAAAGCATTCTTTCGCCTCCTTCCTCCCAGTAGTTCAGTTCCAGCTTCATCGCGTGAATTATCCAGCTAAAATGGACATGATTATTAATTTATGGTTTTCTAAGTTGTTTATTGTTAAGTGTAATCTTGTTTTGTTTCTCAAACTTCAAAATTATGATTAAAAAATAAAATTTTGAGTTTTTAAGGGCAGTAGTCGAACCTTAAAATACAATTCATACAATTACACTGTAGTTCCATCTTGTAAAACTGCTTTGTTTCTGAGAATATAGTTCCTTTCTGTACAGTAAGAGCCATACATTTTTAGTTTTTAGTTAACAAAAATGATCCTGAGCCCTACTTGTTGAGAATGGAAAATTAGAAATTATTGGAAAATAATTATTGTAAAAATATTTCCATAATATTTTACCCGAAAAAAAAATATATATATATTTTACCCGATTCTTATCTTCAGCATTCCTTTAAAAAGATCAGGTGATGTGCTAATAAATTTCCCTATATTCAAAATCATCTCCTGCTGCAAGACAGCTTGTATGATGTCATAGGGTAAACATTTTGTAAACAGGATGTCTTGGATTTCCTGAGGGGAGAGGGGTTTGTCGACAACTTCCTCTTCGTGCCCAAAAACACCAAGTGTGATCTGTAAAATATATTATGTGTTTGGTCAGTTAATGAAAATAAAATGTAAACCATGCAAAATTCAATCCATATACACAGCCAATATAATTTGGCACCTTTTCAGCATCGAAAAAAATTTGGCGCTGTTCCAGCACCGTTTGACACCGTTCCGGCACAGTAACCTTTTGACACCAAAATTTGCCACTGGACTAGTCAGTCCATTTGGTGCTGAAACAGCACCGAAACGGCGTTGAGAATCAGATTGCATTTTTGGGGTGTACAGTTGTATATTGGTGGACAGAGAGACTGATTCAATGGAGTGGTGGGAGGGGAGGGGAAGTTCGACTAAAATGCTTATTTTAAGAAAATGGTGTGACTTTAAGTAACTAATATAAAATGAAAAAATCAAATTAAATTATCATATAACAAAAGGAATACATGTAGTTAAGGAGGGACTGAGGTACAGACCAGGGGTGATCATCTAGTCAATCACATAGATTTACTATGTGAGCCAACCATAACAGAATTTACTACCTTGCTAAAAAGTATTAGTAAAACATCCAGAAATTATTGCGAACTTCCTGCCTGTAGCCAGCTTTTGCCAAATGATTCTAATATTTAAAAAATTCAAGGAGGGGGATAGAATATGACAATTAAGACCCAAAATTACTTGAAAGTGCTCAAAATAGTGAAAACTGATTGATTTCGAAAAAATGCCGACCAAGGGGTGTTTTATTTCAGAATTATAAATATTTTGCTACCTGTTTCCCTCTGACTAGAATCGCTGTTATAGATGGAGCCAAACTGTCAACAAGTTTTCCCAGAGTTGCGGCACAGAATCTTGTCACGTACCTATAAATATGATCAATTTAAGGGCTTTAATAGATCAATATGGGATGGCATATATAAATAATTGTAATAAAAATATGAACAATTTAAGGGCTTTAATAGATCAATATTGGATGGCATATATGAGAAGTTTCCCCAAAGTTTCAGCAGAAAATCTTGTCACATTCCTAAAAATATGAACAATTTAAAGGCTTTAATAGATCAATATGGGATGGCATATATAAATAATTGTAATAAAAATATGAACAATTTAAAGGCTTTAATAGATCAATATGGGATGGCATATATAAATAATTGTAATAAAAATATGAACAATTTAAAGGCTTTAATAGATCAATATGGGATGGCATAAATGAATAATTGTAACTGTATTTGTGGTAAATTTTGTAGGCATTGTTATGTGGAGAAATTGGTGATTTAAAAATGTTAAAAATTAGAAGTCAATTCCTGAGAATCTGAAAGTCATATCAAAAAGCACCTTATTCATGATGGATATACGTACTAATTTGATGCTCTGTTATGGATTTTTTTTTTTAATTGAATTAAATTGAAGGTGAAAATGAGGTTTTATTCTAAACCTTTATTCTTTGAGCATAATTCCAGGTACATGTGTACCTACCACTGTTGATGTGATCCAGCCCTTCGTAATAACTTCTCAAGTCTTTCCTCCACCACAGAGTCATCTATTCTATATTCTGGACCCTCGCGGTCAAGCAGAACGTGTAGAAGTTGACTCTGGGAAGAAACGCTATCAGTATGACGCACCATTTCTGCAAGTTCCCATGTTGACTTCCGCCGTAATTCCTGTGAATATACTTTTTTTATTTAAAGGTCCCATGCAAAGTTTGATAACAAAGTTTGATGACTATAAGCTGAAGACTATATAACTGATTTTTATGTGGAGTTTATATGGAGCCTTTAATAAAATATGTGATGCAACACTATAAATACAAATTAAAGTGTAAAAACTAAAAATATTCAATAATAACAGAAGAATATAAAAAAGCAATTATCTTAGAAAGGCATATTAATCATCATATAGCCACTTCAAAACCAATTGACCAATATATACCAACTTTTGCATAGAAAATATGACCACTACAGTATATGAAAAAATCAAATAGAAAATAATGAATTATTCATTGAACAAAATATTTAAAACCAATTACATTTAAGTCAATATGTGGTTTGTCTTCTATTTCAATCATCGAGATTTTTGGTATATCCGTAAGGCTTCTAAATGAGGATTTCCTGTCAAGCTCCAAGAACCTCTGAAATTCATACTCCATTTCAGGCTGCCATGAATGGCTGAGGAAGTCCAGGTGTTCAACGCAACCACTTGATATCAATTCCTAAAAATATAAGTTCACCATGTTCTAATGGACTGGTTTACAAGTGCATTGCTCTCTGCAGTATTATACACTATAGAGTGCTAAATCCATATTTCCCTGTTTTGATACTAAATATTACTTATTTCAATACTTCATCATTTGGACTGTATGCAAGTAAATTTTTACCAGATTGGTACATTTGTAGATTGTAGTTTGTAGTGATGTCATTGTAATGATGACATCAGAGAGTCAATAAAACATACATACTGTCTACTTAAACTTTATTGACTTAACAGTCAAATTGTACATGCATCATGTGAAATAAGCAAACTTGTAGTGCTTATATAGGGTGATCATTAAATTCTGTAAATTAAGTTCTGCCATTTCAATATTTCTCAAACAATTAAGTCGATATTTTCAGCAAATTTATTTGATTGTCATTATAAAAAGTAAGTGGTCTGCAGATCAGCAAAACAGTTGAAACATATGAAATAACAGGCAAATTCACCCTGTATATAACACTGCGGTTGTCATACAATGATTATGAAAAGGACACTTTACTTTTACACAAAGCCCCTTTTTATGTCCCCATCCCCATACAGAGACAGACTCACGCTCCCCAGCATGAAATTTCAACAATATAAAAAATTTTCAAAAAAAACAATAAAAACTTTTTCCTAACCTGTAACCTCCCCAATCTGACTTTAACTCCATCGACTTCTCCCATTTTAAATTGAGCTAAGAGATTCAATAATTGCTTCACATTTGGACCTCGGATGTTGTCTTCTCTGATCAACATCACAAATAGAGGGCGCCCTGATAACCTCCAGCATTTGGCGAGAAATGCCAAGTCATTCTGAAAAACAATAGATTAGCCTAATTTTCTAATAATTAACATAATGCTGATAACAATCACTATGGTTACACAATGTCACTTTATTTATACAATTAAGATGCATCATTTTATTTAAACATTACAAATGCTGACATCTATTTTTATTTTGACAACATTAATGACATGTTAAGGGCAACCATGTATATTAGCTTGACATCATCTATGACAAGGGCTTAATGTTATCTTGACATCTATTCTAACGGCCATATTACCTTGACATCATCAATGACAAGAGCAATATCCTGAGAAAGGTAGAAATCGGAGACTTCAAACAGTAGAGGATAACATACTATCGTCATGCCCGAGGCTCTATATATCTGCAAATAAAATGTGTGATGATATTTAGTCTAAAGATGTTTAAAGATAGTTTAAAAATGTTAGATTCTCCTGCTTTCAAGGTTTTTACATTTTCTGGATGAAAGTACATGTAGAAAAGGTACTAAAATGTCCTCAAAAGTTTTTAGTGTCTTTTTACTAGCATAAACCACTTTGGTAAAATCACATTTATTTCCTAATTAACACTTTTGAATCTCCTGTCTCTAATGTAACTCTGTGTTCCCAGGACCCTCCTATACATCCAGATTTTGTTTTTCTTTCATTGCAGTTTGCGCATGCATGTAAAAATCTTCAGAAAAATGAAATAAAATCAAAATTTTATCATTTTTAGAAGTGGCTTGAAGTATTTTATGCTGATTTTCGGACTGTCCCTTATGGGTTACAAGTAAATGCTTGTTATTCTCAACTGAAACTTTATGCAAATTACCTTAGCTGTTCCCAGTCCACCGATTGGTCGAGCAGGTCGACCAGTCAGACCAAGCTTTTTATTCACTCCTAGGTACTCATAAGCTTTTGTCATATTATTTGGGGACCATATTTCAATGGGCTCCACCTGGTGAGGAGTTTGGGTCTGAATCCCATATGTCGCAAGCATTTGTTGAAGACGCGTACTCTCCGCTATCAAAACAACCTGGATTACTAGATCTGTTGGTGAGCTCTAAAAATAAATCAAACGAGAGATAAATATTTATTTGAATTCTTAAAAAACAATGTCATTGATTTGTATACCTTTCAGTTTGAACAAACAAGTAAAGTGTTAGCTTAGATCTGTGTGGATAGGTTGCAAAGAGGGAGAGTCTAATACAAGTTCTAAAATGAATAGCGAATTGATCCTAAATCACTTATCTGCCTCACTTCTAAAAAAAACAAATCCACATATTTTTCAGTCATTATTGTATTATTGTATTGTCATTATTGTATTATTGTCAAAGCCAGGATCTAAACTAAATGAGGCAAATTAAAAGAGCCTCATATCTAAATGAGGCAAATTAAAAGAGCCTCATATCTAAATGAGGCAAATTAAAAGAGCCTCATATCTAAATGAGGCAAATTAAAAGAGCCTCATATCTAAATGAGGCAAATTAAAAGAGCCTCATATCTGGCTATGCATTAATGCAATTTAAGAATATAGTAAATATGATTACAATTTAGCCAGACTGCCATAACTAGTTAGGCAGTAAAACACGGTGTTTAACCCAAACGCTCCTACATGCACGACGGAGCGTTTTATTTACGCGAAAACGCTCCGGAGCGAAATAAAATGGCGGCTAATGAAGATTCCACTATGACCGTCAGTATTGTTTCTCTCGTTTCTCTTACATATCATATGTTATGGTGAAATATTATGTACCATTCGATGAACAATTCCGTGAGCAAAGATCTTATTTATTCAACTTCTGGTGGTAAACTGTTATTTGCTTGATCAAAGCTCCGTAGTGTAGATCGAACGAATCTGAAGATGACGATTTGACCACAAATTACGAATTAAACTAGTATTTCTCAGAAAACGTTAATCTTTCTGTTAATGTAGTAGATCAAGAACTCGTATATTCTCATTTACTAAAATCCCAGTCCAAATCCATTACTTGCTCTCAAGAAATCGCTTGTTTTCCTCGAAATGCTCCGTCGATTTAGAACACAATTTTAGAAACGCTCTTACCATTTTGTTTTGATATCATTTTCAGATTATTAGAGAAGAGTTCCGAATCGAATCTTTCTCTCAAAAACGTGTTGTACTTGTTAGGCAAATTGAAACATCTGAACCTAGTGGTGCTAAACGTGCAACTAGCTGATTTAAGCCTACATTAGATGATGTCATGCCTACGTGTGTGCTAAATCATAAAACTATAGAAAAAAACGAAAATTAATACGTGAATTAATGTTTCTTCTTTTGATGCCAAGGGGTATAATAGATCTTTTCTTTCTCTTCCTGAAAAGGAAAGGCAAGCTATATATTTCCTAAACAGATCTAGACTACCGGAGCGTTTCCAGCTCACTGTGTTAACCAGATCGGAGCGTTTCTTGAATATGAGAATGTCATCGTTTTTAAGACTGGATTTTCGGTCATCAAATCACTATTACGATAATGTATGGTGCGTTGAAGCATTGGAATTTGACTAAAATATACGTTGGTGCTCTAATCCTGGCTCAACTAATCACATGTATCGACAAAAGGGGTTTTGACCGGTAGAATGACAAATACGTTTTTGGATTTTGATAACTATACTGCTTTGTACAGCTCTTCCTAATTGCTTCAAACGTCAACAGCCAGCCAAGTACAACATGAATATCACACCCATCGAATGGTATACTCGAAATATGTAACTCATACCTCTTATTCCCATTATTGGGGAAATTGTCAGACGACTCATCATTCCCGCCAGCCAGTTTTCCTACTCCGGAGCGTTTCTTTGTTTAATTTCAGTAATGAAACGCTTCGTCGTGCATGTAGGAGCGTTTGGGTTATACACCGTGTAAAAGTCGGACCATACCAATTAGTGTGGCAGTATAAGCTAAACAATTACAATAAGTGTGGCAATAAGTCACACCATTATCATAAGTATTGCTGTACAAGTTACAACATTACAATTAGTGTGTCAAAACAAGCTACACCATTAGGCATTACAATTAGTGTTGCAGTATAAGTACAATTGGAACGGTAGTATGGGTCACACCAGAACAATTTACACCATTACAAGTAGTGTGGTAGAACAAGTTACTCTGTTAGGTATTTCAATAGTTTTTCAGTAGAAGTTAACAATTGTGAATTGTGAAATGTTTTTTTCACAATGTAATAATTTTAAATTCGCAACATAATGAAATCGTGATTTCACACACACACAAATTTACATGAATTCAAGATGTACACAAAGGTCCATGTGCAGTATTGCAAGTGATTTTAGACAGTCATATCTTTCACCATGAGTACTTTCTGGCAATAAATACAGTGGTTTTCATAAAATCAATATGTTTTCTTTCAAATGAAGTTCTCGTGATATTAAGATATCAATCCAACTCTCTGAAATATTATGGTTTAGTACCCAATCTGGGCACTTTTTAAAAAATGTTAGGCTTATTTTCTAAATAGAGGATCTTGTTTTTCTCGATTTAACCATATAGAAAGTTTCTTCTACACTATATTAACAACTTCTGAAAGGGGGATTAGTATTGAAATGTGTTAAAGTTAATAACAAGAAAATCAAGTGAAAATGACACTAGAAAAATACGAAGGCCATAATGCTATTTTGACAAAACTGATCCACTTTTTATGGAAATACCACAGAGAAAGACAATGAACAAACTACATTTTACAGCTTGTTTTCTGTTTGCTAGGTAACATGTTAATGACGTCACAAATTAAAATATAATAAACACTGTGATGTGTGACGTTTAGCTTTCTTGTCTATTTAGTTGATAGGGCAATAAGTAACTGATGTCATAGTTTATGTTATATTACGTCATATCTTCATCACAAACACAACATATGACGTCGTGATCGTTGCTTTGATGATTTGCCATATAAGGTAATAATGGCGGACTTTTGGTCACGTGACTGGTCGACAGTCGGTCCATAGAACGAATGGCTCCGCCCACTTCGTGGGGGGCCTTCGTAAAAACCACATATCCCATGTTATTTCCCATAGGGAAAACTCGTGCTATCCATTGTTTTCAGCATAATTTTGGTCATCGAAAATTGATATCTTCAAAACTAGACTTTCAATACCATTCTACTTTTGAAGAAGTTTTAGAGCCCTTTTTGAATCATCTTTTCAAGCAATAATAAAATTAGTACCATGGGTACTGGGCTCACATGGTGCTGCTCAAAAGTGAAAATAAAAAGACGGGTATAATTTTTTGCAGATTTTTGTGACAAAATTATTTCATACAACTACTCTTTACAAAGACATGGCTTTTTACAATGCAGGACACCTGAACTTATTTGTAAAGCTAGGAAATGGGCCAAAAGTGAATTCCCCGAGACAAAAATGGTGGCCATTTTGAAACTAGGCGAGATTTTGAAGCAGGAGTCACAGGTTTTTTTTCTTTATTGATGTTGAACAAAATTATTTTAAATCGGGAATCCTATCTACAGAGGATTTAAAAAGTGTTGACAGAGGTTTAAAACTTGCCACTTTTTTGGACTGACTGAGAGACAGATGGACGAATCAATGTTAACTAAAATGGCTGAAAATAATAAAAAAAACTGATATAATATTTTGCCGATTTTTTGTAACAAAATTATTTCATACAACTACTCTTTACAGTGACATGGCTTTTTACAATGCAGGACAGCTGAAATTATTTGTAAAGCTAGGAAATGGGCCAAAAGTGAATTTCGCGAGACAAGAATGGTGACCATTTTGAAAATAGGCGAGCTTTTGAACCAAGAGTCATAGGAGAGTTTTTTGTATTGATGTTGAACAAAATTAACTTAAAACAGGAATCCTATCGACAGAGGGTTTAAGGCAAATGGTCCAAAAGTGGATTTTGCGAGACAGATGGACAAATCAATGTTAACTAAAATGGCTGAAAATAAAAAAAATGGATATCATTTTTTGCTGATTTTTCGTAACAAAATTATTTCATACATCTTCTCTTTACATTGACATGGATTTTTACAATGTAGGACACTTGAAATTATTTGTAAAGCTAGGAAATAGGTCAAAAGTAAATTTCGCGAGACAAAAATGGCGGCCATTTTGAAAATAGGCGAGCATTTGAGCCAGGAGTCATAGGGGAGTTTTCTGTATTGATGTTGAGCAGAAATAACTTAAAACAGGAATCCTATCGACAGAGGTTTTAAAACGTGCCAGTCAAAAGTGAATTTCGGAGACAAAAATGGCGGCCATTTTGAAAATAGGCGAGCTTTTGAACCAGGAGTCATAGGGGAGTTTTCTGTATTGATGTTGAACAGAAATAACTTAAAACAGGAATCCTATCGACAGAGGTTTTAAAACGTGCCACTATTGTTGACGGACAGACGGGCAGACAGACGGACGGACGGACGGACAGACAGACGGACAAGTTAGCGATTGCAAAAGCTCACCATTTGAGCTAAAAATCAGAATAAGGAGATTCTCTCCTCTTTTGAGTAAATAGGTTCAACAATTTAAAAAAATTGTTGACATGGGGTCCCTATTAATAATTTTTCGAAATGTTCGATTGATATTTTTCTCATCATGGGTACTTCACTTGAAACAAAACATGTTGTTTTATTAAAAACCACTGTAACAGTATTTATGCCCAGAACATACGCATGGTGAAAGATATAACTGTCTAAAATCACTTGCCATACTGCACATAGACCTTTAATGTATTTTACAGTATTCCAATACAATTAATGATGAAGCACAAGTCACAATTATTGATTGAAGAGATGGTAAAAGTCACACCATTACAATTAGTAAAGCATTAGATTAAGTGTCAACATTTTTGAATATGTATGCCAAAGGAGTCTTAAAAGCTTTAAATCAAATCCTACACAACATGATTCATTTGAAGACAGCAGTAGATTTTATAAAAGCAAATATCTTATTATTGAATAAAGTTTGGTAAAAAAAGGCTCATACAATTCAATTTGAACTGGATCTTATTTTGGACTTCTAAACCAAATTGGTTATTACTCAAACAATTGTGTGCCTAAAGCAATAGATAAACAAGGGCATAACCAAAAACAAATGAGGTAAATTTGAATAAGTGAGGTAATTTTGAATAAGTGAAGTAAATTTGAATAAGTCGGGCAATTTTGAATAAGTGATACAATGTTGAATAATTGAGGCAAGTTTGAGAACTCAATGTACATTTTTCTATATTGATGTCTATATCGAATAACTTGTCCCTTAAGTTAATCATCATTGTGTTCCAGAACTAGGCCAATTAAAAAGAAGCAAAAGAGAGTGCTGAAAACCATTTACCCACAATGCTTTAGCAAGAAATAAAAGAACATAGACAACAGTGTTATCTACTCCATGAGTAGTCAGGCATCAAGCAAGCAAGGCAAGTGCCCCACCAAAATTTTACTGAAAATATGTATAAAATTCAAGACTTCAACTAAAACTGCGAAATAATGTCCACTTAATAATTAGTTATTAAAAAGCATTATATTCTCTGTATCTAAAATGAGCCTCAACTAGTTCAAACCCTGGCTACACTCTTGTGTTCTACCTTGCTTTGTTGATATGTCATTTTTAGTATTTAGTGGTACAGTTAAACCTGGGAGAAGTGGAACTCCTTTGGTACCTTAGAAAAAGGTACCATTTACATTTAGTTAATATAGGTTTATGTGAAATGGTGCTTTCAAGTGTTCAACAAATGGGGGTGTTCCACTTACAGAGGTGTTCCACTGTCCAAGTTTTACTGTATTATGTACCTGATTAATCTGTGTTTTGATTAAAATCCAATACAAATGATACCATTAAGTATTCTGATTCATTTTAGAATTTAATAGGACAGAAGAAATTCCAAGAAGTCTTCACGCATTATCTTTTGAGATGCATATTTATGCCATGGGTCCTGGCCCCGGCTTATACTTCTCGAGATGAATGAAAAATTCATAAAATGATCTGTTAAAACAATGTTTATTGATGCAAATTACTTCTAAATATCTGACATCTGTTTATATCTCAAGAAGTACATTTTTGGAAAATAAATTGAATCAAAAGGTGGATTAAATTAAAAGGTGGCTTAGCAAATGAGAAGGTGCTTCATTTTTGTCAAGATGATTCTTGGAATTTTTTTGCAAATTAATTTGAATAGAGGTGGACTGAGGGAACTGGTACAGTAGGTAATCATGGTTATGAACCTCTTTTGATCATGCAATTCAAAGAAACCAGAATTCCACCCAACCATCTCTAAATTACTAGGAAAATCTACAAGCTGAAAGACACTACAAATGTTGCAAAACAACAAGAAAACATAGTCTTACCCCCGATCCTTTCTGAAATGCATTTTGGGTTAATTTTATGTAAATTTTCGCCAACAATAATCAACTTGAAACTACTAACTAATCACATTCTAACTAATCATGTACAATATATCTAAACAATCATCAGTTACGGGTACTGTAGTTGTTAAGCATTATCTTAATTGTTATTTTCCTCCATTATCTACCCATAGTTGCTAAAAAGCTTAATGAGCCATGTCTAGTGATTTTTTGGTATATATGTGAAGTGTCAGTTTTAATTTTGAATTAAAAATAACACCCATTGCTCCTTTAAAGTAAAAAAGAGTTTCATGGTACTGTTTGCTAGTATACTACATGTACATTTGGATTGTTTGTACTAAGGGTTGGATGGTGCAGCAATGGGACTCTGTACTAATGGTTGGATGGTGCAGCAATGGGACTCTGTATTAAGGGTTGGATGGTGCAGCAATGGGACTCTGTACTAAGGGTTGGATGGTGCAGCAATGGGACTCTGTATTAAGGGTTGGATGGTGCAGCAATGGGACTCTGTACTAATGGTTGGATGGTGCAGCAATAGGACTCTGTATTAAGGGTTGGATGGTGCAGCAATGGGACTCTGCACTAATGGTTGGATGGTGCATCAATGGGACTCTGTACTAAGGGTTGGATGGTGCATCAATGGGACTCTGTACTAATGGTTGGGTGGTGCAGCAATGGGACTCTGCATGAAGGGTTGGATGGTGCATCAATGGGACTCTGTACTAAGGGTTGGATGGTGCATCAATGGGACTCTGTACTAAGGGTTGGATGGTGCAGCAATGGAACTCTGCACGAAGGGTTGGATGGTGCAGCAATGGGACTCTGCACTAAGGGTTGGATGGTGCAGCAATGGGACTCTGCACTAAGGGTTGGATGGTGCAGCAATGGGACTCTGCATGAAGGGTTGGATGGTGCAGCAATGGGACTCTGTACTAAGGGTTGGGTGGTGCAGCAATGGGACTCTGTACTAAGGGTTGGATGGTGCAGCAATGAGACTCTGCACTAAGGGTTGGATGGTGCAGCAATGGGACTCTGCACTAAGGGTTGGATGGTGCAGCAATGGGACTCTGCATGAAGGGTTGGATGGTGCAGCAATGGGACTCTGTACTAAGGGTTGTGTATTCAATCAATCGGTTCAATAACCCTGCTTTAAAGCTTATATAAAAGCATGAAATTGTCAGGTTCCATGTCGTTATGTACAGACTTTCCAATTTAGACATTTTTTTCATGGCTTATCACAATTCAATATATATCATCTAACAATTATATCATCCATCATAGAGTGTGTTTAACAATAAGAACAAAATGAATGAAAAGATGAATTTCCAGGAAATTCAGCAAAAAAAGGCATGAAATCAGCATCCTAAATTGTAGAGAAAAATTATATATTGCAGATCGACACTTTTCAAATTTTGAAAGATAATGATGGAAGAATGTAAGTATGAGGTTTTCTGTTTTTGTGACTTACTTGAAATGAGGAGTAGCGGGTGTTTCGTTTTGGCCTCTCAGCTGCGGGCAAGTACCGTTTGATTGGGTCTAACTCATTTATGTGTAAAAGACCATCAACTAAAATAAAAATATACAAGGAATTAAGAAGACGAATATATAACAAAGTTTAGGATCAATAATCAGGAATTTATAATTTTCTAAAAAACAAAAACAATGATCATCCATCATCCAATTTACATAAAACTCTATTGAACATGTACCATGGAACACATAGATGAGATAAACATCTGAATTTCAAATGTCTTGGCAATAATGCCAATAAAAAAGTTGAACATTTCCTCTTCCGCTATGATAAAATATCTGCCCCCCCCCCAAATAAAGTGTGGTATTACACATACATATACCTAGATGTTGAGCAAAACTGCCATATAATTTCAGCCTTTCCACTACTAAAAAAATTCTGACCCTGGATAGAGACGCATACACATACCTAGAAGTTATGATATGATATACACAGCCTGCCCCCCAAAAAAGAATCCCACATCCTCCCCCTCCATGCTAGCCACCCTCTTATGATAGTATTTTACATACCTAGAAGTTGTGATATGATATAAACAGCCTGCCCCCACAGAAAGAATTCTCCACTTCCCCTTCAATGCTAGCCACCCTCTTATGATAGTATTTTACATGCCTAAAAGTTGTGATATGATATATACAGCCTGCCCCCACAGAAAGAATTCTCCATACTCCCCCTCCATGCTAGCCACCCTCTTATGATAGTATTTTACATACCTAAAAGTTGTGATATGATATATACAGCCTGCCCCAAGAGAAAGAATTCCCCATCTTCCCCCTCCATGCTTGCCCCCCTCTCATGATAGTATTTTACATACCTAAAAGTTGTGATATGATATATACAGCCTGCCCCCACAGAAAGAATTCTCCATACTCCCCCTCCATGCTAGCCACCCTTCTTATGATAGTATTTTACATACCTAGAAGTTGTGATATGATATATACAGCCTGCCCCCACAGAAAGAATTCTCCATCTTTCCCCTCCATGCTTGCCACCCTCTTATGATAGTATTTTACATACCTAGAAGTTGTGATATGATATATACAGCCTGCCCCAAGAGAAAGAATTCCCCATCTTCCCCCTCCATGCTAGCCACCCTTCTTATGATAGTATTTTACATACCTAGAAGTTGTGATATGATATATACAGCCTGCCCCCACAGAAAGAATTCTCAATCTTCCCCCTCCATGCTTGCCACTCTCTTATGATAGTATTTTACATACCTAAAAGTTGTGATATGATATATACAGCCTGCCCCAAGAGAAAGAATTCCCCATCTTCCCCCTCCATGCTAGCCACCCTCTTATGATAGTATTTTACATACCTAGAAGTTGTGATATGATATATATACAGCCTGCCCCCACAGAAAGAATTCTCCATCTTCCCCTTCCATGCTAGCCACCCTCTTATGATAGTATTTTACATACCTAGAAGTTGTGATATGATATATATATATACAGCCTGCCCCCACAGAAAAAATTCTCCATCTTCCCCCTCCATGCTAGCCACCCTCTTATGATATTATTTTACATACCCAGAAGTTGTGATATGATATATATATACAGCCTGCCCCCACAGAAAGAATTCTCCATCTTCCCCCTCCATGCTAGCCACCCTCTTATGATAGTATTTTACATACCCAGAAGTTGTGATATGATCTATATATACAGCCTGCCCCCACAGAAAGAATTCTCCATCTTCCCCCTCCATGCTAGCCACCCTTTGCTGATAGTATTTTACATACCTAGAAGTTGTGATATGATATATACAGCCTGTCCCCAGAGAAAGAATTCTCCATCCTCCCCTTCCATGCTAGCCACCCTTTGCTGATAGAATTTTACATACCTAGAAGTTGTGATATGATATACACAGCCTGCCCCCACAGTAAGAATTCTCCATCTTCCCCCTCCATGCTAGCCACCCTCTTATGATAGTATTTTACATACCTAGAAGTTGTGATATGATATATACAGCCTGCCCCCACAGAAAGAATTCTCCATCCTCCCCCTCCATGCTTGCCACCCTCTGCTGGCTTCCTGGTTGAGCTCTTTCTAGATCAACCTTGTCCTTTGTAACATAGTAGTACTTTGGCACAAAAATTCCTGTAAAATACATACAAAATAAACAAGACACAGAGTGAACAGAATTGCAAACTTGAATAGAATAGTTTTCGGAATGGAAAATCCAAATTGGCTGCACTAACATTTAACCAGCTTGCCTAAAAACTAATCAGTAGTACTATTGCACAAATATTCCAAATAAATACATATGAAATAAAAAATTCTTTCTGATAATGACCTTGACCTTTATATCATTAGACGATTAACTTATCCAGAAAACAAACAAATAATACAAGGTGTTACAGTGATCTCCCTATTATTAAAGCAAGTGGGTGCAGCAGCCACCTGAGATTTTAAAAACAGACTTGCACCCACCTGAAAATCCATTTGCACCAACTTGAAAATGAGAAAAATCATGAAAAATTGGCATATCTTGACCAATTTTGGTCTGAATTGTCAAAAATGACAATTTTGCACCCACTTGAGAAAAAATGCTGTGGAGAACACTGTGTTACTTGATTACCATTTTTTATCCACTGAATGTAGCTTTAAAGTAATCATCAATATATTAAAGGTGAACATATCTTTACCTTCACTTGTATACTTCAGCAGACTCTCAAGATCATTAGAGTATTCCTCAACCATCTCAACGTCATTCTTGTACACACCTAAAGTACATACGTGTATTCTAATCAGGAATGTGCAGTAAAACTTAGTAGTGTATATCGAACATTTTTTGATGAGAAAAAAAGTTCAGTGTTTATAGGTGTTCACTACAGAGAGGATAATTTATACAGACTTTAGTAGAGTATGTGCAGAGGAAGGGTGTCAACTAGAGACAGGTGTTCACTAGAGACAGGTGTCCACTAGAGACAGGTGTTCACTAGAGCGGTGTTCAGTAAGACAGGTTTTAAAGTATATGTTATCTTGTAATAAACTTTATTCATCACATAATCAACATTTTTGTTTACACATGTTATCAGAAGTACTAAAGTCTTGTTATCATTAGTTTCTTTTTTATGTAATTAATAGTAATATGTTTCACCTTAAATTGTGTTCTTGTATGTATAAAAATGAAAGATTACCTTGGTAAAGAGTGTGCATGCCCTAACTTACGATCTCTAAACCTCTAAAGCGGGTGTCAATGTGAGTTATTTTTTCTCGCTTCAATATCTACACAAAAGAACATGTGAACAGTTCTGTACTTTGATTGTGCGGGTAACATATATTTCCAAACTACCATACTTACTATCAATGATAAGGTAGATGATAAACAGAGGCCATTCACATTCTATGCAGTCAAACATCTGAAAAAAACGGAAAAATCAACTACAGTACCAGTACTAACTAACCTTACATCGATTATATATATTATTTTTTGGTCTAATAAAAACAGGTGAGACGTGACAATTTCCATAAAAATTGACCAATTAGCTCAAAGATAGCTCTGCATGATTGATCCTAATATTGCAAACTCTCGCATCTACAATGGAATAGCTTTTAAATTATTTTTTATATCTTTAGAATTTAGTACTTATGTGACTTATAATGTTGTTATATCCAATCTCTAGCCTTAAGCCGCACTAATTTTTAATAAAAATCTCACCTTGATTTCTGCTGGGCGGTAATATTTTCTATTTTTATCTTCATGGACTGTCTTATATCCATCCCTTAGGAATCGTTTGTAGCCATATTTTCCTTTCAACTTCCTGTGTGCTTTATCAAGTGTTTGGTGTTTTAGTGCTTCTTCGTGGATTGAAAAACATGGCCAACTTATGGTTGGGATGAGAGAGGCATCTGTATGCTATTTAAGAGTAAGACCAAAAAAATCATAAATTTAAAAAAAATATTTCACATTGAGCTGGGTCTTCTTTAAAAACTCCTGTTTTTGATAATATTTTGGTTTTAGCAATAGTCTATAACTGATCAGATAATGAGTGAATTTTTTCGAACATACAGTGAATAATTCTAGACAAATGGCATACAATTCCACTTATAGGGGAACAATTCAATACAGCGGTCAGACAATTCAGCTTAATGTCAGACAATGTTTACACAATTGGTCAAACAATTCCACTTATAGGGGAGAAAAGTCCATACAATGGTAAGCCAATTCCATATATCTCAAAGGGTGAGCAAACCACTAAATAGTAGTGTGTCTTTTTATGAAAACGTTTCTTATAGAAATCACTTGACAATTATTAGAAAGCATTAAAAGTCTAATCCAAAGCGTAATCTGAAGTAAAAGTGAAAAAATATTGCGCGGACGTTAGAGAACACATGTGGAAAGTTAAACTTTTTCAAACTCCATCTTACCTTGGAAGCAGATTCCCTGGGAAGCAATGTATCAAAAATTGTCCGATTTCTGTTATGCGCATCGATATCCACATAAATAACAGACCATGCTGCACCTTGTTCACCAAATAAGTTGAAACCATTGATCGCCTCCAATGCTGCTTTTGCCATTCCAATTGAGCTAAAAAATAACTAGGAGATTAAAGACACCCTTTTGAATTCAAAATAGATATAAATTAAAACCTCAGTATATATTATATTTGTATATAACATGGAGCAACTCTTTAAAATTTTTTAATTTAAATGGCATAGGGAGCATGGGTCCATATGACTATTCCCCTAATAGTATATTCTTTACAGTTTTTCACAGATGCTTTCTGGTTTATTTGCCACGAATTCTTAGTACATTTGATGTATACAAAATATTAGCTAAACTGAAGGATATCTAAGGAAGTTAGAGCAAATTGTTGAATACACATGGGGCAACCCTCAAATATGGTATGGTGTAAGGTAAGCTATTACACATACTGTATATATTTTGCATCTTTTTTGCGTGGTGTAAGGCTAGTTATTATGCATACTGTATTAACCTTGCATGTAATTCATTTGATCCATTGTTGTACTTGCTTCCTCTCTCCCACATTCCAAAGTCAGGGGTCCTATATGTATGATGTAAGGTTAGTTATTATGCATACTGTATTTACCTTGCATGTAGTTCATTTTATCCATTGTTGTACTTGCTTCCTCTCTCCTCCATTCCAAAGTCAGGGGTCCTATATGTATGGTGTAAGGTTAGTTATTATGCACACTATATTTACCTTGCATGTAATTCATTTGATCCATTGTTGTACTTGCTTCCTCTCTCCCACATTCCAAAGTCAGGGGTCCTATATGTATGATGTAAGGTTAGTTATTATGCATACTGTATTTACCTTGCATGTAGTTCATTTGATCCATTGTTATACTTGCTTCCTCTCTCCCACATTCCAAAGTCAGGGGTCCTATATGTATGGTGTAAGGTTAGTTATTATGCATACTGTATTTACTTTGCATGTAGTTCATTTGATCCATTGTTATACTTGCTTCCTCTCTCCCACATTCCAAAGTCAGGGGTCCTATATGTATGGTGTAAGGTTAGTTATTATGCATACTGTATTTACCTTGCATGTAGTTCATTTGATCCATTGTTGTACTTGCTTCCTCTCTCCCACATTCCAAAGTCAGGGGTCCTATATGTTTGGTGTAAGGTTAGTTATTATGCATACTGTATTTACCTTGCATGTAGTTCATTTGATCCATTGTTGTACTTGCTTCCTCTCTCCCACATTCCAAAGTCAGGGGTCCTATATGTTTGGTGTAAGGTTAGTTATTATGCATACTGTATTTACCTTGCATGAAGTTCATTTGATCCATTGTTGTACTTGCTTCCTCTCTCCCACATTCCAAAGTCAGGGGTCCTATATGTATGGTGTAAGGTTAGATATAATGCATACTGTATTTACCTTGCATGTAGTTCATTTGATCCATTGTTGTACTTGCTTCCTCTCTCCCACATTCCAAAGTCAGGGGTCCTATATGTTTGGTGTAAGGTTATTTATTATGCATACTGTATGTACCTTGCATGTAGTTCATTTGATCCATTGTTGTACTTGCTTCCTCTCTCCCACATTCCAAAGTCAGGGGTCCTATATGTATGATGTAAGGTTACTTATTATGCATACTGTATGTACCTTGCATGTAGTTCATTTGATCCATTGTTGTACTTGCTTCCTCTCTCCCACATTCCAAAGTCAGGGGTCCTATATGTATGATGTAAGGTTAGTTATTATGCATACTGTATGTACCTTGCATGTAGTTCATTTGATCCATTGTTGTACTTGCTTCCTCTCTCCCACATTCCAAAGTCAGGGGTCCTATATGTATGATGTAAGGTTAGTTATTATGCATACTGTATTTACCTTGCATGTAGTTCATTTGATCCATTGTTGTACTTGCTTCCTCTCTCCCACATTCCAAAGTCAGGGGTCCTATATGTATGATGTAAGGTTAGTTATTATGCATACTGTATGTACCTTGCATGTAGTTCATTTGATCCATTGTTGTACTTGCTTCCTCTCTCCCACATTCCAAAGTCAGGGGTCCTATATGTATGATGTAAGGTTAGTTATTATGCATACTGTATTTACCTTGCATGTAGTTCATTTGATCCATTGTTGTACTTGCTTCCTCTCTCCCACATTCCAAAGTCAGGGGTCCTATATGTATGGTGTAAGGTTAGTTATTATGCATACTGTATTTACCTTGCATGTAGTTCATTTGATCCATTGTTGTACTTGCTTCCTCTCTCCCACATTCCAAAGTCAGGGGTCCTATATGTATGATGTAAGGTTAGTTATTATGCATACTGTATGTACCTTGCATGTAGTTCATTTGATCCATTGTTGTACTTGCTTCCTCTCTCCCACATTCCAAAGTCAGGGGTCCTATATGTTTGGTGTAAGGTTATTTATTATGCATACTGTATTTACCTTGCATGTAGTTCATTTGATCCATTGTTGTACTTGCTTCCTCTCTCCCACATTCCAAAGTCAGGGGTCCTATATGTATGATGTAAGGTTAGTTATTATGCATACTGTATTTACCTTGCATGTAGTTCATTTGATCCATTGTTGTACTTGCTTCCTCTCTCCTCCATTCCAAAGTCAGGGGTCCTATATGTTTGGTGTAAGGTTATTTATTATGCATACTGTATTTACCTTGCATGTAGTTCATTGGATCCATTGTTATACTTGCTTCCTCTCTCCCACATTCCAAAGTCAGGGGTCCTATATGTTTGGTGTAAGGTTATTTATTATGCATACTGTATTTACCTTGCATGTAGTTCATTGGATCCATTGTTATACTTGCTTCCTCTCTCCCACATTCCAAAGTCAGGGGTCCTATATGTATGGTGTAAGGTTAGTTATTATGCATACTGTAATTACCTTGCATGTAGTTCATTTGATCCATTGTTGTACTTGCTTCCTCTCTCCCACATTCCAAAGTCAGGGGTCCTATATGTATGGTGTAAGGTTAGTTATTATGCATACTGTATTTACCTTGCATTTAGTTCATTTGATCCATTGTTGTACTTGCTTCCTCTCTCCCACATTCCAAAGGCAGGGGTCCTATATGTATTGTAAGGTTAGTTATTATGCATACTGTATTTACCTTGCATGTAGTTCATTTGATCCATTGTTGTACTTGCTACCTCTCTCCCACATTCCAAAGTCAGGGGTTCTATATGTATGGTGTAAGGTTAGTTATTATGCATACTGTATTTACCTTGCATGTAGTTCATTTGATCCATTGTTGTACTTGCTACCTCTCTCCCACATTCCAAAGTCAGGGGTCCTATATGTATGGTGTAAGGTTAGTTATTATGCATACTGTATTTACCTTGCATGTAGTTCATTTGATCCATTGTTGTACTTGCTTCCTCTCTCCCACATTCCGAAGTCAGGGGTCCTATATGCCCTTTCAACATAGAACACCAGATTTTGTATGAAGTTGACTTCATCTGTTGTGTAGATAATCTGAAAAACAAACAAATAATTCAGTATTCACTTCATTTTATACTCCATATTAGTCAGTTTATTCAAACTTCCATATAAATGTACATGCAATGTGCTTGAACATTGCATGCTTGAAGGCTTAATAGACATATACTGAAAAAGCAAAATTATAATGAACTCAATACTGAAGTCAAAATAACTTGTAATGAATGAATGTCTTGTTGTCTTAGTCAGGGATGTAACCAGAATCTAAAATTAGGCCAGGAAAAAATAAATCTGAAAATTCCTCCTTTAGCTCAATTAATTTTTACTGGCCTAATTCAAGATTCTGATAACATCCCTGAATTAGTACTTTGAACATAATGTCTGCAGCTTTGATGAAAAGAGGTTTGAAAATATTTCATTTTGCAAAATTAAGGTGCTGCTAAAGTGGGTCACTTTTTGCCAAAAAATCCCTAGATGTGGGTCCCATTTTGAAGAAAAACCCCTAGATATGGGTCCCATTTTGATGAAAAAATCCCTAGAGCTGGGTCTACTTTTTGAAAAATCCTAAAACTGGGTACTGTTTTTGAAACAAATCGCCGGAAGTGGGTCTTGTTTTTTAAAAATTACCATGAAGTGGGTCTATTTTTGAGAGAAAAACCCTTGATGTGGGTCCATTTTTAGAGAAAAAATTCCGAGATGTGGTTAGATATTTTGAGTCTCAATGGCACCCCCCTGTACAAAAATTTGACCAGTACCCCCCCCCCCCCCCCTCCCCAACATAATATGATTACCTGTAATCCAGATGTGATCATTTCAACCATGAACAGAAGGAATAGAGCAACAATGTCCAACTGAAATAAAAATAAATGAAAATTTATTTACTTATTTTCAAGTTAAGATTTTTATGACATATAAAAATTATATACAATTTAAGGATATTTTAGTATGCAGCATGAAAAGATAAACCTTTGTGAACATTGTTAAATTGTCTGCTTTTTCTCATAATTTAAAGCATTTCTTTCATTCATATACAGTGAAACCTGTGTATATTAAACATTTCTTTCTGAAGAAAAAAATGTTCAGTGTTTGTAGGTGTTCACTACAGAGAGGGTAATTTATCCAGAATTCTAATATGATACGTGACGTCACAATAGCTAGAACAATTGATTTACTGGTCTATATTGGAGTATGTATGACTGCTAGTATTCTTAAATGCAATAAGTTGTGTTTCTTGTCTGTTTATCATATTAGAATCGTAAAAAGACCTAATTCGCTTTCATGATCTATGTCAAATATATTACTTCAAATTTTATTCTGGCCATTGCCAAAGAACAATGAATAAAAAATTTTTAGCACTAATGCCTTTCTCATACTTCCTTGCTTTTTGAGCCCTGCTTACATTCGTATATGTACTTTATTTCTTTTTTGCATTTAAAATGTGAGATCTTACCTGTAAATGCTCATATTCATCGTCCCTAGTGAGCGTTTCCCCGGTAACCAGGTCAAATTTACAATGAAGAGCATTCTTGGGAGATTGAACGTTCTTGAACTTCTCAGGCTGAAAATAAAGAACATAAACTTTTTTATGAAAACATGTATTACAACATGTACATGCATACTACTGTACATCTCAGCAAAACTAATTAAAAATATTTTGGATTCGAGAAAAAATTTGTGAAATCAAAATACACAAGTGTAGCCATTTGCTGCAGATGCTAAAAGATGATATTAACATGAATGCAGAAAATTTTGGTCACAAAAAACTATTGGCTATATAACAATATGTAAGAACTTCTTGGTAATGTCATTTAAACATTTTTTCACATTTTTGTCTACACATTTTTGCCTGAAATTAAGGTTTTGATCTGGAAAATTAATAAATATCGTAACCAGGTTACAATATTTATGTAATAATAGTATTAATTATGAAGTAGGGTGGGGTGCATGCACATCTATTCCTATGTGTACCATGCACAGGACAAACAAACAATACCAATTCATTTAACTTTGTTTTCAAATGAATATATGGGGTGTCCCATAAAAAGTGAGACACTTTTTATAAGTATTTAATTCCTCAGCAATCGATTAACCAAATTCACTGAAAATGTGTATAAAGTAGCCGAAGAGCATCAGAAGCAAGTTCTAAAAATATAAAAAAAAGATCAAGTATCTGTAATGTGAATGAAGTAGAAAGAAAGAAGAAGAAATTTCAAAATAATGGAGGAGAAATTCAAAATAGCATGCCAAGAAAGTTCAAAATATCCAAAATCCATTCATTCTCAAAATTCATTGGAGGTGATATTGTTAAAATAAATACTGAAAAGTATTTTTGCTTGGAAATGGATTAATAAGTGACTTTTACATTGATATTGATAATTGTAACATACTGTCTTTATTTCAACAAAAACTCACTCTGTAAAACATTGTTTAATGTCTCTCTCATAAGCCGGCAATGGCTGGATGTACTTTTCATATGAGACAGAAATAAATTATTATACATACATACATAATTTATAAGCAATCTCTTACACATTCATAGAACAACTGAAGATACCCTAAAGTGTCTCAAGTAAAGTTTCAAAGAATTTGGCTTATCTATTGCTGAGAAATTACTTGGGAATTTCTTAGTTCTCATATATTATTTCCTCAGTCTTTTTTATATTTCTGTAATTTGCTAACGATACTCCTGGGCTTGGAAAAATATTGAATTTTTTAGCACTTTTATTGGAGAAATAAATTATTTTCTATAAGTGTGTAGAATAAACTATGTTAAACAAATATGTGTAATAAATGTGTGAAATAAATACAATGTACAATGTATATCAAGTATGTGCACAATTAAATTTCCAATCAATGTGAGAGTAAATACAAAAAAACATTTCTCCCCCCCCCCTCCCAATCTGCCATTTTCCTATAACAAAGGTCAGTACGGGTATGACTAATAAATTACGTCACAATATCATGCAACATAGATTAATTTTGGGAAAAATATAATTGATCCAGAAACATAATAGCCAAGGAGGATTGGAAGCCAGGGTTCCAACTCGATATTCTTTAATCTCCACGCATGCGTCATTTGCTATTCGTGTCTGTATAATTTGTACGACTGCATGGAGAATGACCCGATACTCTCCAACAAAGCTATCGCTAGGTGATTGTTTTGCAGAATATCGGTGTTGCATTCTGGGAGCCAATCCTCCTTGCATAATAGCCTCTTTTTTGGATTTAGAGCACAGTATCGTTAATGTAAAGCCAAATCTAAACAGTAATATTGCTGAAACGTATCGGATTCAAGATTCATTTCCCAGTTGGATTCCAGAAATATTTTTTATCTTGAGAGTTTTATTGTTTCTATCAATCCTACATTTTTAGAAACCCTACAATTTTTAGAAACCCTACATTTTTTAGAAACTACATTTTTAGAAACCCTACAAATAGAAGAATAAGCTGTAAAGCAGGGTACAATGTATAAAATTGATACATTAATGGTTGTAAAAGTAATTGCAGCCTAAAATAAAAAATATACATCTGAAAACATAATACTAACAATATTTTAAAGGGATACCTGCAGTTCTTTATGGTAGGTTTCTCGTGATCTGAGATATGCGGAAAGCTAAATTGGAAATAAAATTGGAGATTTCAGTTTTTTAATTTTTGTATTTTCAAATGTTATGAAAAATATTTTGTGTCATATTTGATTTTAATAGAGGCACTTTTAAAAAATAAAATTATAACGTAAATAAGTTATAAACCTTAAGACTAAAGTTATAAAAATCAATTTCAGTTTTGATTTACAACTTTGTGAAGATTTCTTCTGCAAAAAATAATAACAGTTTGTTTCAGGGTTCATTTTGTATTCATTGGATTCTTTCAAAATTAAATAAAATATTATTTACATTTTTAAAAAATAACAAATCGTATGCAGCGACTTCACTTGCTCCATTTTAAGCTATTTGAATAAACATAATGCAACAGGATAATAAAGGGAATATAAAAAGGGAAGTGGTGGAATAAAATAGAAATCTATTTTAGGGTGATCTAATTTGTGTACATGTAGGACAATAACATCACAATAACCCAAAAACAATTATTCAAAATACAAAAAATCTATGATCATGGTAGATTAATAACAATACTGTGCCTAAAAATTAAAATTGGTCACCTGAAAATTTTTCTAGCATGCATGCCAAGAAATAATCAGTTCGAGACTTTTATTGAAATCCCTTATAATTTCTAATCAATCCATCAAGCAGTTATAAAGAAGACAAGCACAGTGAGACATGACTGTCTGCCACCAGCCCTGCAAGCTGAGGACAATATTGCATCTTATTTTAGGTTGGAAAATTTTGATTCATTTTATACAAAAATCTTGGCTCTAATTCTCATATCTCAAATTCAACATTTATTTGGGGAACTTTGCATGAAATACAATCAAATCACACAACAAACGGGTCAATAAAATGTTGATGAAATAAAAAATGATACTTTACCTTTTCCGATTGTTGCATCCAACAGTACAAGACGCCTCTCATACATTTCACGGTGCATTGCCCCAATTCATATGTGCGGCCCCTATCATCATCAATACGTCTGAAATAAAATAAAAATGGTTTTCAAATCCTTTATAATCCAAGTAACAAATATAGTTGTTATTTATACTTTTATCATATTCAATTAGGTTTTACAAAAAGTTATAATTTCATATAAATAATATAAATTTTAACATTGTGCCAATGTAACATATTAATATTCATAGACTTCAAACTAGATCAATGGTTCCTGTTATATTTATATAAAAGGTCGAAACAAAATAATTGTATTTTATTCATTCACATCAAATTAAAGTAATCCTGCAGTAAGTGGAACTCCTGAGTACTTCAAAATGGTGTTCCACATATTAGTTCCACTTACAGAAGTTCATTTTACATTAAATAAATTGGGTAAGGGACATAGAAGTGTTCCACCCATGGAGGTGTTCCACTTTATGTGTGTTACTGTTACTGTGTATAAATTTTGCATAACATTAGTCACTTTAATTTGATTTTCTACAGTGCGATAATGACAGACCCTTGGGGTACCTAGGTCTTGCACTGTAAGGTTGATTTTTTATAAAGTAATTAAAATTAAAAAAATAGGAATAACATGTTCACATAACTTGTATGCTTAAATTGATAGTTTATCCATATATTTTAAGAAAATAGGCATGTCAATGAAGATGTTAAGCAAAATGTTGCTCTGATAGCTCAGAAAAAGTGAAAAATTATAAATTTTCTCTCTACAGTCCTTGTTGCCCCTTTAAAATTAAAAAAAAAATAGGAATAAAATGTTCACATTACTTGTATGCTTGGTGTAAGGCCCACACTGAATTCGCAGCCCAAAGACTGTCCCGTATATGACCAATGTGTCTCTCCTCTGAAGCAAGATCCGCAGCAAATAGCCCAAGGGTTGGGCTCTGGTGAGATAGGATGTGTTTTTTCACTGAAATATACAACATTGGCACACTGTGATGGTAGTGAATAGATTTGGGATTCCCAAAAAATACTGTGTCATGTACACACAAGGGTGGGCCAAAAAAACTTTTAGTACCCCAAAAATTTTTCAGCCAAAAAACTTTGTACAGACTCAAAAAATGGGCCATGTTAGGTAAAACTTGGCCTTTTTGGACCTTTTTAAAGCCAAATTATCAAAAAAAAATTGGCATTAAATTTGCAAAATTTGGGCCCAATTTTTGGTTTGACGGGTCCAAAAAGTTTTTCCTGATTTGAAATGTCTACCCGCCCCCTGTTAGCTTCTATATCACCAGTAATACATGTACATGTAATGTATGTATCAGGCCATGTTCATACATGTTTGTACAGTACATGTATTAGTAGTTGTATCTTTGCCCCCCCCCCTCCTTATAAACAAGATACAGGAGCACCATCTCTGCACAAATCTATGCTGTGAATGTGAGTTCAAGGGCGAGGTGTCCTTGAAAAATATAAAACAGATAACTAGACTTTAATGATTCAAAGGTGACTATAAAGCCAGGTTCACCTCACTCTCAGAGATTTCCTTTGTGAATGTTTGACATTGACTTATAGTCCCAGGTGCTCAAGATAATTGTTCAAATGAACTTTACTGGAATTTATGGCCTGTAACTTCACACTGTGCTTGAGCAATACATTTGCTGATCACGCTGTTGTTGGATGAAAAGAGTCAAATGAATATTTACTCACCTATCAAGTAATATTTATGCAGTTTATCCACTATTTCTTGATAATTAAACTCCTGGTTCCCAGCGTCCATTCTTCCCAGTCGACTATCATATCTGGTTGTCTTGACCTTTGACTTGGAATTATTTCCTTGAGAATGAGATGTCGTTATTTTTTTCATTTTTGTTTTTTAACGATTCAAACACGTTTTTTAGATCAACTATGGATGCATTTCGTCTGGTATTCGGTTTTGCATGTTCACCAAAGTCTCTTATCCTTGTAGGGGTAAAACTTGAGCAAAATCTCAGCTGTAATTTGATGAAAAGCTACTTTAAAAGTGGAAAGAAATTTCTACGAAAAAGATATAAAAGCACGACTGATTTACGGCACGACTTTTCAAATTACCTATTATCGCCCACCAGGAAAAAGATGAATAATGTTACGTCTATATTTTCCGTGATTCTATGCCTTTGTTGTCGACTTTGTACCACAAGCTTTGTCGATATATCAGGATCTATACTTGGGGTCACGAAGGAAGGATTGATATCGGCGTTTGGAGACTTTAACTCTGACAAACAGACTGATATTTTTGTACTCTCAGAAAAAGGTAAAATAAAGAATGGAGGGGGATTTTATATGTAGTCATATAAATCCGACCGTTATATGCTGTTCTTCGATATTCCTAGTTCTTATTGGATATTTATTTTTTATCATTTTCTTTGCATATACGGTGCTCGTATGCAAGAAAATAAGAAAAAATAAATATCCAAATCAGAAAAAATAACAACAAATAACATCATACGAGGGTTAGACTATATCCTATTTAGTCTGAATTATATTCAGACTATAAGGCACCTATGTTAAAGTTTGGTAATTATAGATATTTGTTAACATAGGAAGTGCTATTCAAAATGGCCGATTGGGTAAAATTAATTTGCAATTTGTTACTTCAACTAGCTTTATTTCCACTTGACAATATGCTGTGTTACTTTTTATTGCATTTAATTGTACCTTACTATTTAATTAAAATTTTGTAATGGTTATTTTATTTAAAAAATGGTTCCTCTAATTGATAATTTTGTGCAAAAAATTTCACTGCAATTTCCCCAGGAAAGTAGTACATCATAACAGACTGACTTCTAGTCAGTCTGTTGGATACATACTAATACGAGGGTCAGATCATCTAGTTGAAAGCCCATGGTCAGATTTATATGACTAATTATATGACTCTGAGTCATACATGTATATGCTTTTGTGAGGGTCTTCAACCATCAACCAACAACAACAAATCGCTGACTTTAAACATGTACATGTAGAGTATGTAGAATACAGTCTATGCTACTTTCTGTCACATCACCCATTTCACAACACCATCTCCTCATTCTGGTTTTTGCACGCAAATAGACTAAATAGTGCTAAACAAGAAAATGCAGCAAACTCCTCCAGTTGAGGTCTCCAAGTCAAAAAAAGTCCTGACCCTATCATATATCTGTTGATTATCCTGTTTATAACTGATTCAAGACCTACAGTGTATATGCCTATTTGTTATTTGTTTAGTTGTTGGTTGGGTAACCTGTTTATGACGTCACAAATGATGCAAAGAATCTTTAAACCAATCAGCGAAGTCTATATTAATTGTTTGTTTAGTTGTTGATGTGGCAATACATGTCTGACGTCACAGGTGATTGCATCCAGTAACGCCATTTTACGACATTGCATAATTTTAGCTGATTTTGGCTTCATTTCACTTTATTCGAAAGACTTTTTTAAAAATATAATAATGAGTTAGTATTTTTTCTTATAAATATTAATATTTGAATTTGAGGTCAAAGCCCGAAAATTTGATCAACTGATTGAAATCACATTTTAAAGAGGTGAAGAAGTGAATAATTACAGGAGCAAACGTGATCAATGGTTCGAGGTCTACCGCAAAGTAGTCGCTACGCTCCTACTTTGCGCTGCCTTTGGCAGAGGAGACCTCAAAAAAAACAGTGAAAACCTTGACATGTACCTATACATATTCCAAAACCTCGCTCGCTACGCACATATTTATTATGTCTATCAATCCCTAAGACTACCAGTAACATTCTCCCTACATGTAAGTAAAAACCTAGCGGCTGTCTCAAATTGCAATAATCAGTAGTCTCCCCAGCATAAAGCAAGTGGGCGCAACACCCACCTGAGATTTTGAAAACAGCCTTGCACCTTATCGAAACTTACGACCACTTTAGATTGTATAGTGGGGGTGGTAGGATGCAATAACCTTGCATCCACCTGAAAATCCATTTGTATCCACTTGAAAGTGAGAAAATCCATGAAAAATTGGCATATTTTGACCAATTTTGGTCTGAATTGTGAAAATGAGAATATTTCACCCACTTAGGAAAAAGTCCTGGGGAGGTCACGGGTATATTAATATTCAGGACACTTCAATCTTAAAGCAGCTGTACAGAGAGGCAATGCCATCCAGGCAATTGTTGGACACTAACAAATCTGGATTTCTTCCTATTTAAATCCTGATTTGACAAATGAGAGTAGATAATTATAATGTACTGTATATTAATCAACAACCAACCAACTTGGATCAAACAAACTAATATCACAGCAACTCTATTTCAGGTCAAAAACTACAAATTCTATTTGCTCAAGTAGAGACTGTATATTCACCAGCAACTCTCATAGACTACACTTCTACTGGGGTTAACGGAACACATATAACTGGAGTATTCCCTGGTGATTATGACGGAGACTCACAGATGGACGTCCTTGTGACGTGCCACTCAGGCGTGGGTAGTGTTGAGATCCATGACCCTCTCCAGGTTCTTGTTTACTGGGGTAACTCCCGTACTCATGCTGTGGATAAAGGTATTTATTTTAGATTATTAAATAATTATATACAGTATTTCTTTCATTGGCAGTTCCTATTAGTTCAAGCTGACTATAGTAAATCAATTCATTTATAAAACAAAGCATTCAATCATATTATTTTTATGTTTTTTTTGTAAAGGAAATAAGAAAGCATTGTCTCTTTTTTCACTTTCATTTAAGATTTGCAAATATGCATTAAATTGAGGCAACATATGGTACTGAATGGATTTCTCCTTGATGAACAAAAATTTTAGTTCAGTAAGATATCCAACCTCTGAGCACAGGGCTTCAAAATCCAGAATATATTCTTTCTTTTTACCCCCTGCGATAAGCAGTTGGTATTTCTCCGATTAAGAACTCGCAATCTGATTGGCTGTCGCAACACTGCGACAGAAATCATGTATAAGCCATTGCGCATAATTAGATCACTTGATTCAGTTAAATCGGGCGCTTCAAATTGGTTATAGCAGGGGGAAGAAGGAGGCACGGATTCTGGACACCTGCTTAGGAGGATGTAAATCTTGCAAGCTGGTACTCATTCATGATACTTATGTATTGATAAGATATCCCGCGAACTGGTACTTATATGTGATATACATGTATTGATAAGATATCTTGCAAACTGGTACTTGTTAGCCTTGCTCAAGTCGGTATTTTTCTACTTATCTGATCTTGAATTATTAGAAATCAAGATAAGTAAAAGAGACCGACTTGGGCAAGGCTAGTTACTTGTTTGTGACATACTGATAAGATATCATAAAAGCTGGACAGGTACTCATTCATGATATTTATGTATTGATAAGATATCCCTCAAACTGGTACTTATTTATGAAATACACATATTGATAAGATATCCTGCAAACTGGTACTTGTTTGTTACATACTGATAAGATATCATGAAAGCTGGTACTTATTCATGATAGACATGTATTGATGAGATATCCAACAAACTGGTACTTATTTGTGATATTCATGTATTGATAAGATATCCCGCAAGCTGGTACTTATTTGTGATTGTATTGAAAAGGTATCCTGCAAGCTGGTACTTATTTGTGATATACCGATCTATATTAAGTGCCGAATTTTGATTTTAGATCCATTGGTTGTAGCTGAGAATATAACTGACCATCCTACAATTCTCGAGTAAGTAAATATTTGATAAGTAAATATTTCAGTAAGTAAATAATTATCAAGTAATTAATAAGTTGATTTTTGAGTGCTATTTAGAATATTCTACATGAGGTTCTGGATTTTGCAATTATCCTGGGTCCAGTATAACAATACATCTTCCTGAGAATGGAATAATAGCGTAGTGTGTTTATACTTTTAATTGCATTTCTCATTTAATATGTAATTTGTGAAAATAAATCAAATGAATTTCTAATTTTAAGATCCAGTTTCAGTGTATTTCAAGTTCAATGCATTGTCATTTCATTATGCGTTTCTCATTTGTAATTTCATAATGTGTTTCTTATTTGTAATTTCATAATGTGTTTTTCATTTGTAATTTCATAATGTGTTTCTCATTTGTAATTTCCTTATGCGTTTCTCATTTGTAATTTCAGTGATAATGTATCTCTCATTTGTAATTTTAGTTTTAATGTATTTCTCATTTGTAATTTTAGTTTTAATGCAGATCTCATACCAGATTTTCTGGCAGAGACAAAAATAGGCAACCGCTATGTTTGGAAATCTAGGTGATTATATACTACTTCTAATGCTTCCATTGCTGCTATTGTTTGAACTATTCACATTTTAAAAATCAGCTGTTTTATCTGCTTTGATAAGTAACTTTGATTTGATTTTTTCATGGGAAAAGTAATAACAGGTGAAATTCAAATTCAAATCCAAATTCAAATCCTTTGATGAGGTAAGTTTGAGATAATCTTAGTTGGTCAGTAGAAAATTTTCTTTGCAAAACTGGATAAGTGAAGGGGATAAATCAACCCTGACCCCATACCAGTCCAGCTTTGAATCAAAAGCGGTCTATTATTGTTAGCTCTGTGTTTCACAGGCTGGTATCGAAAGATTTGTCCGCTGTGACGGAGCATGCTATTTTTCATAAAAACACTAAGAATGCTTCACGATATATTTTTTAACTCATATGTTTCGTTATATCAAAGATAATTACTTACTCCATGCAATGGATATATCATTTGCGTGTATCCTTCACTTCTGTTTGAAGTCCAATAACGCTAAGAGTAAAATCTATTGAAAACGGCGCCAGAGTATCAAACTCTAAAATGTACCATTTCTTTTTTATTTAACTTTTTAATGGCATGATATAGTGACACGATAATATTAACATATGTTTTCAACATAACTCTGAATGTATTAATGATATATTAATGCATTGGGTCTTTTTAATGTTTTTTATAAAAAATAATATTAATATTTTTTGTCCGCTGTGACGGAGCATTTTCACAGTTTACATTTGCAACTGCTCCGTCACAGTGGACATAAAAATTAAACATTATTTTTTATAAAAGAATTAAAAAGGCCAAATACATCAACATCTCATTTATACCTTCATAGTTATGCTGAAACCATGTGTAAATATTATCGTGTCACTATATCGTGCCATTAGAAAGTTAAACAAGAAATGGTACATTTTGAAGTATGATACTCCGGCGCCATTTTCAATAGCTTTTCTTCCCAGCGTAATTGGACTTCAAACAGAAGTGAAAGTTACCCGCAAATGATATATCCATTGCATGGAGTAAGTAATTTTGTATGGTATAACGAAACATATGAGTTAAAAAATAAATCGTGAAGTATTCTTAGTGTTTTTATGAAAAATAGCATGCTCCGACACAGCGGACAAATATTTCGATACCAGCCTGTGTGTTTGGATATATTTTTTAAGATTTTGATATTTTCAGTTCCAGTTCAAGAAACTTTACAAAGCAATGGCTTCCCACAGTTCATGTCGCGAATATCAGTATGCCAATTCGCAAACCGCATTCAAATGCTTTTATAGACCTTGATGGCGATTTCACTGCAGGTAAGAAATATGTAAAACATATTGAGTAGTTGTGGCTAAGTCTTAAAATCAAAAAGAAGAGTAAAATAGAAGTAAATAAAAAAGGAATAAAATAAAAAGTAAACAGGCATGCAATTTAAAGACACTCAATTTCTTACAAATTCCAGAAAACAAGGGCAATCAGTATTAGAAAAATAGAGTGAATTGTTTAGGTTCAGGGAGAAATTCAAGGTGTTTGAGAGACTACCAACAGAGTTAATGAACCTACATTTCAGGGAATGACTTAGAAAGTCAGCTTTAACAACATACATTTTGTTATCTCTCATAGACATGTATATTTGAAAAACCTTGAAACGTGAACACATGCTCTTGGTTGGTGGCAGTGTTGGTCATATTTGACAAGTTTACTGTACAGGGTGTTCAGCAAATAAAGAGAATAATGTCATTACTTTTTTATTTGTTCATGGATTGCATTGAAAGTTTCAGACATTATGGTTTTAACCTTTTTTTACGTATTGATAGAGTTTCAGCTTCAGGTGATTTGATTGGTTGATTCAGTGGTTGTCATAGCAACGTGAGAAGCGCTAAGGCGGGGCAGGTTGAATAACTGCAGCATATTAGCATGTTTCAAATGTTTTAAAAAGAGATTCTATCATGTTTATGACTTAAAATGGATGCTTAAACATAGTTATAACTAAAAGCTAGAAATTCTTTGTCAATTTATCAATTTATTCTACATAATTTCCTCCATTCTAGACACAAACTCTTTGCCTCTTGAACCTTCTTCAAATACTTCACAGAATTCTCCTTGACTCATTCCCCGGGACTCTTTTCCGGAAGTCTGTTTAATTATGTGAATGTATGGCATGAGTATTCTCAAAAGTATGTCCTCTTAAGTCCCGTTTTGATTTAGCAAAGAAGTATAAATCATGTGGCGCTAGGTTGGGTGAATAAGGTGGATGCTTGAGTTGTTCTAATCTCAGCTGCTCAATTTTTAGTGATTATGGCAGCAGTATGAGAGGGGGAATTGTCCAAGTGGAAGAGAAATTGCATCCTGGGCCACTTTCTATGTAATGCCTGCATTAAGTCATAAAGATCCCATTGAATATCATTATAAAAGCATTTATTTGACTTTTATATCATAAAACAAAACAATAGAAGAATTTTATCATGGAATTGCACCAAGCTAATTGTTAAACAGAAACTACTGCAGTTATTCCATGTGCCCCGCCTTAGCGCTACTCGCGTTGCTATACCAACCACAGAAATGACAAATCAAATCACTTGTAGCTGAAACTCCAAAAGTAAGTTTAAATATGTTTGATCTATAATCCCTGCAAATTTTATTGAAATCCATGAATAAATAAAAAAGTTATGACATTATTCACTTTATTTCCTGAACACCCTGTATGTTATTTTTCATTTTCAGATCTCATGATTGACCGTGATGGTGTGGATAATTATCATTATGAAAAGTGGGTTAATATAGATGGCGCTTTGACATTTAATGGGACTATAACACCACCTATTAATGGAATAAAACACATGGGGCAGTCATCTTACGTGGACATTGGTAAGATTTACATTCTTCGGAATATGCACAAAATCAGTGTCACATCAATCTTATCAAGAAAATTCCAGGAAAACCACTTATCCGTTCAACTTTTTCAAATTTTTACAGGTGCATGAGCACACCGAAGAGCTAAAATCTGATACGCATTTGGGCATGATAAATTGTAGGGCCATTTTGAATATTTTTGTTAAATCTCGTTGTAGATCAAGATGGTGTAATAGACCAGATTGTCCCGCTATGTTTAGATGATGCCTGCATGGACAGCTCCATCTATGTTTATTCAAATGATAAGGTAGGTGGGGCAAATAGTAATTTATTCTTCTTATTATTAGGCCATAAGAAGTAGATTCTTTGCTTTGTGTCCCCTTGCTTGCACAATTTTGAGTAAATCAGAAAAAACAAACACATCCAAATAGCAAGCACAAGGGTCTGAAAGTGCCATCGCATTTCATTCAATCAGAATCAGACGAAATGAACCTTTATGTCATCCCTTTTTATGCCTATAAAATGTATACATATCTCAGCAAACAATTTTGTGTTTTTTCCTGAATTTGTGTTTGTTTTCCTTGTACCCTTGCATGATTTGGATTTTGCCAGGACGCAAAACAAAGAATCTACTTCTTATGGCCTTATATATCAATGCAGTTAAATGTGTTAAATGTGTAGCTGGGCTTGTTTTAAGCAGGCTACCAACAGCATGTTTTATAAAAAAAATAAAAAGTTGTTTTGTAAAAAACACAATATCTGAGCAACTTTCTTTACTTGTAGCATTTCAATTGATATTGTCTTAAAGGAAAACCTTTATCTTTTGAACAAATCAACAACTGTGATATCAGATTTTTTAAATCAAAAGCAAAAATATCCTTAGGTGTAGTCAACACCCTTTTAAGAAAATCATTCCTTAATGTTGTAATAACATTTCTCGTAGGAACACTTGCGAACACATCTTTGTGTATAAAACATTTAATTTGAGATAACTGATTCATCATTTGAGATAATATTCCTTTTGTGATGTCGTTTTGATTAAACAAACACCTTATGCAGTAGTGATCTCTCCAGTATTAATGCAAGTGGGTGCAGCACCCACATGAGATTTTGAAAATAAGGTTGCACCCACTTGAAAATGAGAGAAATCATGAAAAATTGGCATATTTAGACCAACTTTGGTATGAATTGTGAAAATGAGAATTTTGCACCTTGAGAAAAAAAACTGTGGAGATCAATGGCTGCTCAACCTTAACTTCAATTTCTCAATTTCAGTGGTCTCTCTTACTGGCGAACTTCACAAATGGCGGCACTTGGGGATTTGTTCCACCAAAATCAAACCCTGTGACTAGGCCTCTTCTACCAATCGCCCTCCACACAGGGGACTATAACTTGGACGGGTTTCCCGATGCTCTGGCAATACTTTATACAGAAGAGGACGGGTGAGTTGAGTTCTTACATTTATAGAGTATTCTGATTATTTTAATAACAAATCAATTCATTATTTCAATGGAAAACATGAAGTCTAGACCAATGAGACTTATAAGACAGGAAATCACGAGCAAGGCTTCTATGTTAACACAAGCAAGGCTTCAATGTTAACATAAGCAAGACTTCAATGTTAACACAAGAAAGGCTTCAAAGTTAACATGAGCAAGGGAATTAAAACCTAGGTTAAGTTTGTTTTTTTATTCATGATTATGTTCAATAAAGTGTTTTTGTTTCATGGTATATTAAATTATTAATTTTATAAGACAACAACATGCACTTTTTAGAAAACACACACTTTTAACAAAAACATGTACTTTTTACTTTCTCAACAGAAAAAGGCGGCAGAATGCAGTCTTGCTACAGAATATCCCATGCGGGAACAAATTGTGTCAAAATGTAGGACGTACATTTGGGATCTTATGGGGAACTGGAATACAGAATGTAAACAATGTTATTCTCGCAGCCTTCTATGACGTTTATGGGGATGTAAGTACACTGTTTTATGAGGCTAATGCTTCAGCCACATTTGATGACAATCATACAGCAGCATTGAATTTCAAGAATCGAGAAATATGCAGCATAAAATATAGGGCTCAGTAGTATGATGTAGATTTTCTAAATCAATTTTTTAAGCTATTTTCTCCCGTATGCCTGCAGTAGAACAAATGTGACTGAAGCTTTAACTGCACATTTTTATGAGAAATTTGTCTCCAAAACTTGACTCCAAAGCTATTAATTTTGTACAGCTAGACCTAGAATGTTATAGCTATGCAATATGCCCTGAATTCTGATGGACTAAATCATCCATGGTCTAATTGTTCTTGATGGTTGGTGAACATGGTTGCTAAATATTCAAGATGAGGTGCAGTAGCCGGGTAGCCACTGTTTCCTTATCACTGTTCCACAGCTGGATGACTCTAACTGCATTAGCTTCATTCAAGATAGTTGCCGAAATTCTTTCGTTTTCGATAAACCTCCGATATCAGCTAAACTAAGTTGAATCTGGATTTCAAATGTTTCCCCGTGCAAATTTATAAAGCTACAATGGTAAATAATGACAAATAAATGCTCAAACAACCACGATATTGGAGAATTTTAAAGAAAATGGCTTCACTTAGAAAGACTCTAACTGAAGTTGATGATGACGTAATGATGACAAAGATCATCAACTTCAGTTTGAGTCATTCTAAGTGAATCCATTTTCTTTAAAATTCTCTAATATTGCGGGTGTTTGGGCATTTATTTGTGGTTGAATACAATAATAGTTTTATTAATTTGCATGGCGAAACTTTTTGAATCAAGATTTAAATAAGTTTAGCTGAAATGGGAGGTTCATCTAAGCAAAAGCACCAACACCCTCATCCCCACGATTCAACACCCCCTCCTCCATCCCCACCATTAAGGAATTAATGTTATACATATTTGGATTGCTAGTAGTGTGGATGCTACAGTACTGGTACCACTGTGATCTATATGTACCAGAACAACTTCATGATTTACATATCTAATTTTCCACAGGGAGTCTTAGATGTGATGCTTAGCAGTGTAGATGCTACGGGAACCACTGTGACCCATGCATACAAAAACAACTTCAACGCAGATGCATGCTTTGTAAAAATAATGGGTAAGTGGTTTGAAATACATCCACCTACCCATTTTCTATATGGTATGGAACTTTATAATACCATTTAATATACTATTTATGGGATGAAGACCAGATTTGTATAGGACAGTGCTGACCATTGTTTTTGATCATTGTTAAAATTTGTGGAATAAGGTCTTAGTCAATTGGCGGAAGAACATCTTAAGGTCTACGTATATATTTGCCATAAATCACAGAAGATCTTTGTGACAAATATATTATGATGAACAAGCCTCAAAACATGTAAGTAGACATACATGTATATTTACACCATTATAGACCAGAAAATTACATGTAGTTGTAGTAATTTTTACATCACAGTATTTATTTTAAAATTGTACTCTGTATTTTTCTGGGCTTATATGACTTATGTTTTAAATTTCCTTCACATTGACAGCTTTAATCTATTTATTTCACTGAATTGTGCTTTTCTGATTTTCAGTTTTGAGTGGCTTATGTGATAGTGACTGTCCAAATGGCAAAATGGTAAGCACTTTTTCATTAGAAATTGTCTCAAATACCAATCAAATTGGATCAATCAATTGTCTGTTCCCTTAAATTCTAATCTGATCACCCTGTATGTCTGTCAGCTGTCAGTCATTCATTTTGATTTACGAGTATTTTTGAAAAATATTGATGAAAATAGTAGTAAGAGTGATTGTTCCAATGGAAAAATGGTCAGTATATTGTACCAAACGTATAAACCATATTATTACATCGTCCGATCACAGGGCTTCAAAATCCAGAATATCTTCTTTCTTCATGTACATGTATACATCATTGCGCATAATTAGATCATGTGATTCAGTTTAATTGGGCACTTCCAAATTGGTAATAGCAGGGCGAAAGATGGAGGTACGGATTCTGTACACCTGCTTAGGAGGATGTATTATTATAGATCATAAATTGCCTAATCCTAAAAATCATTGCTCTGATCACTCTAATGAGTACAAATCAATGAGTCTTCACGAGGCCGATTGTCTGTTTTCAAATTATGTCATGCTCGTGGAAATCTGGAGTGGTGCATAATGAGGTGGCTATCTTATGGAGTTGTATATGATGGTGTCTTTGTAACCACTCTTTAGTTAGTCCAGTATATGGTCAAATTTTATCATTTTCCTAATTTTGATTTTCCTAATGACCAGACACAATTACCATTGGATAACATTATGAAGATAATGTTTCTGACATTTAATTTTCCAAACCTGTCAAAAAATTAGGCAATTAGGCAAATTAAATGATTAGGCAAAATAACCATTTATACAGTAGAAGCTTAGTATCTCTTTTAACAACCTTGTTATTCAACCATTAATCGAGAAAATGTTTAAATATCTTATTTCATTTCATTTTATGATTTAACAAACACAGGGAAGTGGTGCCGCAGTACCATTTTGGAATAAACTTTTAAAGACAAAATCAGAAAAGGTATTTTAAATTGCATGAAAACCAAAAGGTGGCGCTTATATGCACAGTAACGTTCAGTTAGAGGGAAACTGTATGTACATGTATATGTGTGTGTTAGTCCTTTTTTAATCGCTTTCTTAATTTTTTAAGTATATAAGATAAACAGGTGTGTTTAAAAGGTACATTTTCAGGAAGGACAAAAAGTGGGTCTTTAGAATAAGTTTTTAAATTTTATATTTTGAGGGGCTGTTTAATGTCCAGCATGTTTGTATTTGTTTAATCAGGTGCCTTATTATGGTGATGGCTATTGTATTTTCAGTTTATTGTAAATGTATTTGTATTGGCTTATTTTGTATATATAAATACAATATATAGTATTGTATATATAATATATTTATATTGTGATACATGTACACATTTTCATGAATTTTAAAAAAAATATGGTATTTTTAGTTTATTATTTCTTTTATCTTAATATTATTTGGTAGAAAGCAAAATGTTCCGAATTGTTCCGATTTGTTTTGTTCCGTGACATTTCTATAATTTATTAAGCTCAAAAGATAAATACATACAGCATAAAATAACAAATGGGCACAGCACAGCACAGCACATATGTATAGAAATACATGTTTCTCTAAAACCTATCATGATTTTCAAAGTCAACTACGAGGTGTGACCTTTTACATCCAAGAATTAGATTTTAACCCTTTTATTCCAGCTTTATTTTGTCTTTAGATTAGAAAGTGGGATATGGCACTTACAATGACCTGTCGCAAGGGAACAATGCTCAATTGTGACATGCTTTTTTGTTTTTCAGCCTTATGGGGTGAATCAGCCTGGCCCATTTATACAATACAGGACTACAACAGCTGAAGGCAGACCACAAATAAGCTGTGGTAATTTATGATACTCTATGCTTTTTAAGTCAAGTAAACAAGTATATTTTGTATAATGAGGTGTATCCTCAAGACCAGAATCTGGATATCCTTGTTTCTGAATACAAAGTTCTGTGATTTTTTGAAGAACATTTAAATCGCTGGGCTCCTGTTGCCATTTTAAATATGTAATCATTCAATTATTAAAGGACAACTGAAATAGCTTTTCTCAACTTGCAGCTACAAAAATGCGGTTTTCTCCATTGTAAGCCCACCGTAGAGTTCTTGCGATAGCCATTATAAAATAAATGTTAGATAACTGCTAACGGTCATAGATAACGAAATAAAACTAACTGATAAATCAAATTGGCCCCCACGTGATTAGTAACGTCATATACAAAATATAGCTTTGGTTTATTTTTTCCATAGTAATCACAACGTCACGGCAACCATAGGATTGTTGTGTAAACAAATAACAAAACATTTTGGCATTATGACGTCATGATCTAATGGGACCAAAACGGGCCACGTGGGGACCAGAGAGAGATCACGTGGGGGCCAATAACGTCACAACCAATTCGAATATTGCTTATTAAGCAGCTATAACGATCGTTAGAGTGAAATAGTTTTCACACTACTGATGAGAAAACATGTCCAAATACATCTATCAAAAAATTATATTGATTCCTTTAGGTTAAAAATACCATTTCATATCTGCTTTAAAGGCGAAATCAGATCTATAGGGGTGAAAATTGACCTATTAATCTTTTCTTTACAATCTCAAATATAATATCTCCCAAAAGATTCATGATATGTTATAAATTGGTGAAGGTATTATGGATTCAAATCTCAAAAATGGGTGAAAAATGTCTAGTTTCTCGCAATAATTAGAATGGTCTAGTAACCATTCTTATAGAAAATAATACATTATTGTAAAAATCTTTAGTTTTCCTGAAATAAAGTGTGTACTTTGGGGATTTTTAGAAAATAGACATGACAAGGACTGACATGGGCCAGAAATATTCTAAAACTGAAACAACTTTTTGTTGGCCTGTTCACTAGATCTGATTCTCTCTTAAAAATAATTCAATGTCTTTTTGTGCAGCAATAAAGTAAAAGTTCATACTCTGCATGTATCAAAAATATCCTAAATTACTATTAAGTGAGCATCTGGATTCAATATGAAATGAAAGAATCATTTAAAATTCCATTTTATTGAACTATTTCAGCGGGTCAGATGCCACAAGCCGCCCATTTTGCGCTACAGTTACCCTTCACAGTATTTGGATTAGGGCAAACTCCAAACTTTATAGACAATCTTCATGTTGGCGTACCAAGACCTAAAGATAAGGTAAGACTTTTCTTTCAGAGCAGACTTTAAAAATTAAGTGTTCAAAATTGAACACGATTTATTTACCAAATCTTGAATTAATTCATGTGGCAATCAGTGGTCGGCATTCAGAAGTTGGTGTCTGTAACCAATGGCAGGTGGTGACATTTTGCATATTAATGCCTTGTAAGAATATGGTAGGACATTTTTAGACAAATATCAATTTAGGGTACCACATGTTCAGAAATGTGGCTCTTGCTGGCTGAATTTTGGTGGCAATTTAACATCCTCAAGTTGGCTTGGGAGAAAACAAAATTATTATGAGAATTATGTGCATAAAATGTCAATAATAGTGAGTTTAAGATCAGTTATTCTGTCATCACTGGAAGTGGTGACATATTGTTTCAATCTCCAACTTTTTTCTGGAGATTTGCATTTGGTGATTGGTGTTCAGTGTCTGTAACAAATGGTAGGTGGTGACATTTTGCATATTAACGTAATTTTATTAAGCAACATAAAATGCTGCTTTGTTTTTCAGAATATTAGGAAAAGATCTTGGACATCAGTGATACCAAATTCTCAAATTACCATCGTGCCATACCCAATAGAAACACCATCTTGGTGAGTATGATCATACAAAGCTCCCAAGCAAAGTTTGAGCTAAGGACCCATCCACTGGTCTTTGCCTGATTTTACTTTTGGTATGGCAAATAGATTTTTTCATTAAGTATAGTAAAATAATATTGCACACAGGCAATTTCAAACAGTACTGTATAAGTACCGCTTTGGCTATGGTACTGTACGGTACCGTAGACTTAAACAGTACTCTAACGTGAACACTGTTCAGCGCCATACTCAAATGGTACCAGTGATACCATACTCTTAATGTACCATACTGTGCTGATTAGGGCTGTAAATGGCCTGTCATGTCGTTTTATCAAGCTGCTATCAAATCCTTAGCAAGAGTCCTGCTCTCATGTGCTTATTTTGATCCCGGGATTTTGATATTCATATATCTGGCAAAACTATATGTGGTAGTTCATGTTACTTTGAAATGTGCTCCACCAATAGGATGCTCTGAATTACACAGGCAATTAACATCGGAGCCCGTATAAGGATGTACAACCTTTTACAGGCCTCGTAACGAGTACCATACTGACTCATAATTTTGAAGCTTCGTTCAAGCTAGAACAGGGCCTGATCTTGTGTAGCACATGTAATCAATAATCAGTTAAGACCATGGGAATGATTTTGAGCTCCCATTTGTGTTCCATGAATTATTTATTATACCAGTGTTTAAAAGGGAAAACATGCCATTAAATTCCATTTTGTTTCAATATGTTGTTGATAATTTTAAACAGAAAATATGTTTCTTTGTTGAGGTAGTTTTGTGAATGAAATTGTGGTGAAACAAAGATGAAAATATGATTGATATAATTGAGTCACTAATAAAACTATGATTGTCAGACTTTGTATAGTAAACCTGTGAAAGTGGAACACCTTTTAGATCTCTAAAAGTTAGACAATTCAATTACACAGTTCATGTTACATTGAGTCAGTGGTCATGGGCCAATGAAAAGTGTTCCACTTATGAAAATGTTCCACTTACAGAGGTTTTCCATTTCACAGGTTTTACTGTATTTTTTTACATTTTACAGGTGGAAAATGAAACTATTTGTAACTCCCAGTAGATTGGTTTTACTGACTGTTGCCGCATTATTGGGGACATGTGGATTTATCGCTGGTCTAGTCGCAATTTTACACTGGAAAGAAAAGGTAGGTATACAGAGTACATGGGGGCATTGTTGGAACACAGGGCATTGTCGGACAATCTTCACCAAATCTTTGTTTTATATGATTTCTTTATTTAAATTTCAAAGTAGACACATTCTTTGATCGATATGGTGATATATATTGTAGAGTCAAACAATGCCCCAGATTTGAAAAACAGAATCAAATGACACTCTGTACTGTACAATAATGTAAGTTTTTCAATCAATATGCAGTTCCAAAAAGATGGCGGATCAGTAGTGACTTATTTGCCAGTATAGAGTGTCATTTGACACTGTTTTTTCAAATTTGTTTTACCTTAGTGATCAGACTTTGACGTAAGGGAAACATATTTCATAATAATTGGTTTACATATGAGCTTTGATTTCCCACACAAACCCTTGGCATCAGGTGGAAATTCTGTTTGGATTGCATGACATCTATCAACAGTCAAAAAAAACATTCTTGTTATATTTTCAGAGAGATGATAAAAAAGAAAAGAGACAAGACTCGCATAGGTTTCACTTTGATGCTATGTAGGAGAGTGAAGAATACAACTTTTTAAGTTTCTTAATGGAGAATACAACTTTTTAAGTTTCTAAATGGAGAATACAACTTTTTAAGTTTTTCAATGGAGAATACAACTTTTTAGTTTTTTATAAAAAAAATTGTGCAAAACAGTGGAACAAGGACGGAATAAGGAAGCTCATACTCTAAAATGTGAGAAAAATCTCAGACAATCCAGTTGCATTAATATCTCTAGAGCGCAGAAATGTCTTTGTGATCTATGATGGCCCAGAATTCTGTTATGAAGATGATAACACTATATTGACTTTTCCGGCAGGTTTTAAAATGTAAATGTTTTAAATTCTGACTTTTATATTCAAAGATCTTTAAGAAATAACCAAGTCAATTCATCAATTGTAAATGGTTATCATACGAGGCTTAACATGTACATATTCTAAATATGTACATATTCTGATTATGTACATATTCTAATTATGTACATATTCTAATTATGTACATAACCTGATTTGATTCATGAACACAAATTTTGCACTTACTGTGTGTCTGATTGAGCAAAAATTAGGTAGGTTTCACAAAACATTTCTAGCCCAACGTATCTAAAATCTGGAATGCATTCACCAGATTAATGCATAGTTACAATTCAGTTAAAACGAGAAGCGGTTGCGGATACATTTTACATAGAAATAGTTGTGTGAAACCTTTCTATTATGTGCTGATTATGTAGGAAAATAATGTACTAATTCTGCAGTTATTTTGCAGAGTATATTTTATTTATTTATTTATGTTATCATTTCATGCAATTATCATGTTTAAAAGTGTCAAGATGATCCATCCTCCTAAGCAGGTATCCAGAATCCGTACCTCCTTCTTCCCCCTGCTATAAGCAATTTGGAAGCACCCGATTAAACTGAATCACGTGATCTAATTATGCGCCGATGACATATACATGATTGCTGTCTCAGTGTTGTGACAGCGAATCAAATTCCGAGTTCTTAATCAGGGAAATGCTAACTGCTTATCGCAGGGGGTAAAAAAAAGAAAATATTCTGGATTTTGAGGCCCTGTGATCGGAGGATGAAAAGTGTCAAGATGATCAGATGTTTAAATGTGGTCATCTTCATGTATATATTAAAAGTAATGAACTCCATTAAAGATGCATTCCAAACCAAGTCATTAGAGTAAGCCTTGGTGCATAGTGACTATAAAACATAATGTATACTCTGTAGTTTGTACCCTTGATAGCAGTCTATGATAAGGCACTCTCTGGTATATTAAATAATTTACATTTTTTACAAGTGCAACACCTTTTAGAGGAACCAAAGGTGTTCCAATTAGACAGGCTCTACTGTACATTGTATATAATATATACATTTGTCATTTAAAATACAACATTTGTCATTTAAAATACTACATTTGTCATTTAGAATACTACATTTGTCATTTAAAATACTACATTTGTCATTTAAAATACTACATTTGTCATTTAAAATACTGCATTTGTTATTTAAAATACTACATCTGTTATTTAAAATACTACATTTGTTATTTAAAATACTGCATTTGTTATTCTGTTTCTTTATTCCCTGTACACTTGAACATATTTGTATAGAATGTGTAAATTTATGTCTATTAAACCAGGGTCTAGGATAGAAAAACATTTGATATTTCAATGACACAATTTTGAATTACATACCGAAATAAATGAATATATATGCATTTGTTTCTTAAGACTGTACTCATTTCTGTATTCACTATATTCTATATTTACACCCCAGAATAGCCTGACAACGGTAAAGTCAGATACCGTTGTCACAAATGGCGGACATAACCGTCGCTTCAGTTAGATTTTCATGAACTGTATGTTTAATAAACCACCTAGACTAAATTCCTTTGGAACAACAATCAATCAAAATGTGTTTATACTCATTGTACATGTCATAATGTTCTACCATTTTATGTTAGTCTCAGCTAATGCCAAGGAGGATTGGCAGATAGAATGCAACATCGATATTCTCTGACAAAGCTAGCGTCAGTCCTGGAGTAGCAGTAGTATTTCTTACTCCCGGGTTCTTACTTCAAAATTTGAATCGCAAGTTTTGGTCTTATTTAACCGAACAAAAAATTCAAAACACACAACAAGTTCATTAGTGGCTTAATTAATGACCATTAGTTTCAATATTTTGAATGCTGATTTTGAATGTCAGACAATAAAGACGCCAGTTTTGTTGGAGAAAATCGTTCATTCTCCCCGCAGCCGTAAAAATATACAGGCATTATTGGCAATAACGCATTACTCGAGTTGGAACTCTGGCTTCCAAAACTCCTTGGCTAATGCAGACAAGATCACAAATATTCGTGCTTCGGAAATCCCAAGTGACCTAATAGGCTAAAGGGCGATAGAAATTGTTTTTGAAATAAAGATGGCAGCTGCAATCAATCTGTTAAGCATATCATTTTTTAAAACAGGGACGGAGGATTGGCTCCCAGAATGCAATCTCGATATTTTCCAACAATGGATATGTCGTTATTGTCTGTCATTAGACTGGCTATTAATTCATAATCAGCAATCCAAAAGATTTGAGCTAATATCTTGATTTTCTTATGCGATTTGAAATATTTTGTTTTGTTATAAGACCAAAACATGCTCGTCCGAGTGAGAAAATGGCGACTGTTTAATTTCGAATTTCGTAATCACGAGATCGGGCCTGTTCAAGTGTTTGATACCCGGGGCTTTGTATATGCAGCGAACGAAACGAAACAATACACGAATATCGAGATTGCATTCTGGTCGTCTTAAGGTTCAGCTCGAAAGTAACATTTTGGTAAAATATTGCTGTCCTGTACATGTTATTTTCTGGTACAAAATTAAGTATGAAGGCATGTGTGTATTTCCTTGCTTTTTTCAGGAAAGTATAATTACACTGTCTACTTTGGTAAACCTGGAAACGGGTCAATGGTAGCTCCTGTGTTGTCTGGAAACTTTGAAAGAAAATTTGGAATTTCTTGGAGTTCCCATTGAACGTTTACCAGATATTCTAAAAGAAGACAATGTAATGATACTTTCCTGAAAAAAGCAAGGAAATTGATACGTGCCTTCTTACTTTATTTTGTACCAGAAAATAACATGTGCAGGTATAGCAGTTTTTATTTTCCAGCTGTACCCATTCTGATACTCATAGCATCTTTCTGTTTCACCTGAAACATGCTCTGATATTATGAGGCATATTCTGTGATCTGAGCAAATCAGATGGGAAAAGTTATAACTGTCAATAAGTGTGATTGTTATCATGTAATCATTTACCTTATGTCAATACATTACATAATAGGCATTGCATTTAACAGCAGATATTACAACAGGCACAGTAACACAAGTTTAATGACCCCAATTAGATGAAATATGAGCTGGGATGAAAGATCTCAAAAATCCTCAATTTTGGGCTCTCCTGGATCGCCAAATCAAGCTCATTATATCATGGCATCTCAGGGCTGAGAAGATTTGAGATGGCATGGTTTATCATGATGGCTGTACCTAAGAATGATTAATAAAGTCCTACTTCTAACGCCATCTTTATATTGAACTGAAACCTGTGATTACTTGAGCTGAAACCTGTGATTACAACATGATTTCAAGTTTTCAACACAAAACAAAGTCAATGAGCAATGAAGCTCGTTTTAGGCTATTTGGTTTGCACAGCGTCGCACGTCATTGACCTGCTAAGTTTAGTCATTTTGCCTGCTCGCCGTGACGAAAGGTAATGATGTCTGTTAACCCCCGGAAATTCAGTAATACAAATATAGAAAACCACATTTTATTAATTTCAGCTATGTTATTTAGTGTGTAAGATTCCTTTCCATTTATAATAGTTAGATAATCATTTTGTATAAAATAGAAAATGCATATCACATCGCAATAACAGACATACATCAAAATTTTAAGTTCATTTTATTCACGGGCCCCAGCATGTAACGGTTTGGGTGCTCTGATTTATATATGGAAATCATGATACCGAAACTACTAATGCATATGTACAGTGTATATACAGTACTTCCTATTACAAACATTGAATTCACAAATCGGAGATTTCAATTAGGTAACATATGAACTATTATCATAGGTGACGAACACAAATGGATCTTCAATTTAAGATATGACTTGACACTAAGAGGTTAGTAATAATCGCATGAGTATCGTGTTCGCGTGTTCATAAATGTTTGGACTACAGTAACATTTTAAATGTTTGGAACTACTTTGAATTTAAAAAATAAGCAATCAAATGACTATTTTGCATCAGTATAAAATGGAAACATATGTACAAGTCCTAACTTTTGTATATTTCAGATAGTTATGTATAATGTGCAGCAAAGGCCTTTTGTAATTTAGGGAGTTTCAGCCATGTTATTTTTTTCGAAAATAACATGGCAGAGAAGCATCAAAATATAAGAGGCCACAGATATGAAAGCTAAACTACAAAACAAACTAAAATAAACAAAAGTTAGGACATGTATAAATGTTTCTATTCTTACATTCTGTTTCAATATATGATATAATTGCTTATTTTTTAGATTCAAAGTAGTTTCAAACATTTAAAATTTTACTGTACCATGTACATCGCCCATACTATTCATGGTCTTCCTCTTTCAGTTTAGTTGTACTTCATAAATGGTCTTCCTCTTTCAGTTTAGTTGTACTTCATAAAAGTAATGCCTGGGTCACATTTGTTCCGATCCATCGGCCGGCGCCCGGCCGATTGAGTTTATTGGATATTTTGAACAAAACACTCAATCGGCCGGGCGCCGAAGTGAAAATCGAAGCAGATGTGACCAAGGCATTAACTAGCATTCGCGAATTCAACTACCGGCTGTAGGCTGACGATTTGATCTGCTAATTTATCGCAAACTCATTTGAATAGGAATAGTTTACACTACTATTCATATTTTCAGTTCTAGAAAGAAATAATTGAGGAGTGGTGGGCCCATCACCATTCCAGAACCATGGTGGTTTGAAAGCCAATAGTTTCGATTAATGTCTAGATACATACAGACATATTTTACACTTTGTATTCTCTCATCCACTGATGCTATCTATCCGGCAGCTGGAATTTGAATTAGCGAATGCTACCTAATGCCTGGGTCACATTTGCTCTGATTCATCGCCCGGCGCCCGGCTGATTGAATATTTTGTTCAAAATTGAATACAATACAGGCTCCATCCGATGAATCGAAATTAATGTGACACGGGCATAAGTAACTGCATTTTTAATTTTCATTCATTGAAGAAAATAATTATTTATTGTACCCTCAACGATAATCTAGGTACATTTTTGACCATTTACATTTACAATTTGGAACTTTACAGTTTGGATCATAAATAAATGACAGGTGGATTTGCTGAAGTGAGGATTTCCCATGTTAAAAATAAGAGAATTTTCAAGAGGCCATACATCAGTGGATGAGATTATACAAAATGTAAAATATACACATTTTAAGGGATATGTATCTAGACAATATTGGAAATTATGGGCTTTCAGACGACAATGATTAGGAAATGGTGATCGAAAATAGACCTGTCATTTATTTTTGATCCCAACTGTAAAGATGTACCTTGAAATAGTTTCAATTCGCGTTCAATTTCGCTTTTTGGAGAAGTGCTATTATCACATCAATATATTGGTAATACAGTACGTGCAATTTTGAATCAGCAGATCAAGGACTTACAGATGATTAATAAAAACAAAAGTAAAACGCATGACAGAGATCACACTTCAGTTAAGCTCGTATTCAGTACGAATGTGCAATATGTTACGCGGTAAACACGATACAAAAATATGTCATATTCCGCAACGAATATGGCATATTCACTTGCGGTGTATGACAGATTCACCTGCGGTATATGGCATACACACTAACCAATGAGAACGTGATACGGAAGTACGCAATTGTCAATTGCATCGATTGAACGAACAAGTAAATTGTTATAAATTATTATAATGATTACTGAATCAACAGTACTGTGTATCGAATATATTAACTTAGCAGAAGTATTAGTCACCAACCTCGAGTAATAAACTTACTCAATCAATCCAGGATTCATATATTAGTACTCGACGCACTAATTATATTGGTAATCCAGCGTAGTTTTACATTTAAAGTCGATTCTCGCAACCAATCAAATCAAGGCTTTCTGTATCACGTTTTCACCTGCGGTATATGTCATATTCACCTGCGGTATATGGCATATTCTGCAAGTGAGTATGACATATTCCGCAGGTGAGTATCGGGTATTCACTGAAATCGATGTATCGCATATTCACTGCGGAATATCGCATACTCACCTGCGGAATATGCCATATACCGCAGGTGAGTATGTCATATTCACCCGTATCACAAATACCGCGCAACCATAAATGTATACCGCGTAACACAATAAACGCATGTTCTCTTGAAATTTTGGAGCGTTTTAGCCATGTTAATTTTGAGATCGTAAATGGAACTAGAATGGCTGAACTGGTACATCGGTTGTTTGTTTGAACAAAATGTCACTAATCTGCTTATAATGTTTCATCAATCTTATGACCAGTAACATCAAACAGTTTATCAGCGATCAACGTTTCACAGTAGCGGTCAACAATATTGTTGACTTTTAATCAATCAAAATCGAGTATAAGACAGTGGTATCATTAATAAGAATTATGTTCCTAAAGTCCTAACATAAACTTTGACCTGCGACTTCACTTTAGACGACATCATCATTTCAACAGTTAATTTTAGATTACCTTAACATCAATAGTCAATATCACGAGAGGTCAATGATTATTATAATTGTCATCGTCAGGAGAGGTCAATCATTTTAAAAGTCACACTCAAGAGAGGTCAATTTTAAATGTCACCCTCAAGCGAGGTCAATCATTTTAAAAGTCACACTCAAGAGAGGTCAATTTTAAAAGTCACCCTCAAGCAAGGTCAATAATTTTAAGTCAACCTCAAAATAGGTCAATAGTTTATCTCATGAAAAGTCGATTTTTACAGGGACATAAAATACATGCTTCTGATACTTTTAGATTAGAAACTGCCCAACATACAAATACAGAGATGACGTTGTCGGGACCAAGGGGCCTCAGTAAACTGCTGGTTGGAGTGATTCTTGTAACACTGGGGCTCATAGTAGGGCTATATTCGCCATATCATCTTAATGACCAACCAATCAAAAACATCGATACAGTTCGTCGGATTCAACGGCTGAATGATCAACCAATCGAAAACGTTGACACAGTTTTAAGGGCTAAACTTCCAAATGAACAACCAATTGAAAAGCCCTCAACTGATGTTCAGATGGAGTCCGACCAATCAAAATCCTCCTCTGTAAATCTCACAACAGATGTTCGGATGAAGTCCGACCAATCGAATCCCTCTCCTGTAACATGTGAGTCTAGACTTGGCAAGCGAGATTGTCTTAATTCCAAGAGTTGTGGTTTTTGCATTAACAATGACACCAGTTCATGTGCGACAGGAACTAAAGATGGAGCGAAGTATAACCAATGCAAAACATGGTGTTACAAGTCCGGGAATGGAAAATGCCGCTTATATAAAAAGCTTATTGTGTTTGGGAATGGGCCATCTTTGAAGGGATTCGATTTCTTAAAGACTAGAGGAGTAGACACCTTGGGGATGAATTTAGCGTTTAGGTATTGGAAACAGATTGACTGGTGGCCGACATATTACGCATCGTTTGATAAAATAGTCAATGTAGACCACATCCCCGAGCTTACGGAAATGGTCGAAAACGCGGATGAACGCGGCATGAAATTATTTTTCACTCGAGAAAATATTGGGAAAAGAGAACCTAAACTGGGATCCAATCCTAAAATCAAGTTCATTGAAACTATTAAACATGATAAAGAACACCAGAATATGGTCACATTGACTCGTAAAATATCCACCGGTTCTTTATCCGCAAGATTAGGCCAGTACCTTGGCTATGAGAAGATTTTATTACTCGGTATAGACATGAACTACGTTGAGCATGTAAACGGATCTACATCACGAAAAGGTGGCGGATTAATTATGGAGGAAACCCCCAAGGAAAATCCGAACTACTTTTTCGCTAACTACCAAAGGAAAGGTGATGTGTACAATATTCCGAAGAATGAGGCGGTTCATATTACTGCGTTTAATGAAATCTTAGAGGACGTCAAAAATCATCCAGAGTTCAACGTGGAATATTTCAATGGAAGTCCAGTGTCAAGACTAAATAAAATGGGATACAAATACAAGACATTCGAAGACTTTATGAAACTTTAATACAGAGTTCTCCGTCGCACTTATGAAATTGTTATTTTTTAGTTTTTTGCCTTGTGTTAAACCAATAAAATATACATAAACAGTGTATGCAGTGTATGCCATTTTTGTTAAATTCATTAATTAGGCTAGACTCTTTGCAGAACGATGGATTATAAGAATACGGAGCCAAAATTGAACTGAAATCTTTAGAAAACAAAATTGTCACACTTTTTGTCCATTTTGGTTTCTAGTTTTAGATTATAACACTGGTGATCCGCTCGATTACGCTGGTTACCGAAACGGTTCGTTTCTGTAACACAATGTCGGAACGTCGAAGGTACGTTTTTTTCTTATTTCACGCGTATCAGTATCATATGTTTTAGAAAATGCACATGTTTGCGAAAAGATAGCTCAGAAGACAACAGAATCGTCGATTTAATTCCTCACCTAAGTTACATAAACGGTATGGGCTAAGAGTGCAGATCTTAACTGTTTTTCGAAAAACCGTTTATGTAACTTAAGTGAGGAATTAAATCGACGATTCTGTTGTCTTGTGAACTATGTGTTCTCAAATATATACATTTCCTTAAACATATGATACTGATATACGTTTGTGATGAAAATGTTGTGGGAATTCTGCCTACAACGTGTGAAATAAGGTAAAAAGAAAAAATCGTACCTTCGATGTTCCGACATTTTGTTATTGACATATATGTTTTGCATGGTGAACCAGATGTAAAAATATTAACTCTCAGAATAGAGAAAAATATAAATGTCGTGGCAAGTGCAATTATGTCTGTATGGAATATTGGATCAAATATAGATGTCTCCTTCATTCATTTGTCCAATAAAAAGCATTGTCGTAGTCTGAATTATCGTCTGAATATCATCCTGTGAATTTCCATCTTTGCAGTCTTCTCTTCTTCAAGCGTACGATCTTTACTTCGACCGACGGGTGCTGGGTGAACAAGATGTAGAATGCGGTAAATTGGTCCATTATTCGGACCTAGAATTAAAAAAGACTTACACTCCCCTCCATAAGTTTGGCAACGTTACCTCCCCCATTGAACTACGTGTTAAAGCCTCTTTACGTTTGAATTTGTATTTACTTATCCGGCGATGAAATAACTTATAATATTGATGGAAACGTAACTTGACTTTATTTACAATACCTCCAAATTTTCGTTAATATTTTTTCTCAAGTACAATAGGTCGAAAATTGATGATAAATTTGATGAATTTTTGAAAATCGTCGTTCCCATGTAATCCAATGGGAAATGGAGGGTTCGGGGCAAATCAGAAATCAGGATATCTTTTCAGTAAAAGATTCAGCAAAAAATATTTTTATATAGAAAATTGAAACTTTTTTTGTACATTAAGTGTTTAGTTTATTTGATGAATACTAAAGTTACAGCGCTTCAAAGTCATTTTGGAAATGATTTTTCGCCTCCTGTGTTATTTCAATGGGAGAGGTATTTTGAAAAACAATTTTGACTTTAAAGCCCTATAACTTTGTTGAACCTGAAGAAAAATATCAATTTTTGTTAAATAAAGTTAGCAAATTCAATTGCCTGCCTAACTCGCATTTTTTGCAAGGACTCGGATGGATGGATATTCTGTCATATGACTTGCGGCAAACCTACCATTTCCCATTGGTTAACATGGGAATGTCGATTTTCAAAAATTCATCAAATTTATCATCAATTTTCGACTTATTGTAATTGAGGAAAAATGAGAAAATTTGGAGGTATTGGAAATAAAGTCAAATTACGTTTCCATCAATAGTATTAAGTATTTTCATCGCAGGTTAAGTAAATAAAAATTCAAAGGATAGAGGCTTTAACACGTAGTTCAATGGGGGAGCTAAGGTTGCCAAACTTATGGAGAGGAGTGTAATTCTAGATTGGATCTACATTGTTTGAACTCAAGGGGTTTCATCTTTCTTGTTTTAGACGAATTACACAATATGATTAGTGCCCATGGTTGAAATAAAGGAGCACGTAGGTTATCGCAAACAATGTCAAACAATTCTAACTTGAATTATGAATATTTTCTGATCATGAAAATGGGTGTATCTTTTAGATCCATTCATTATCTTCAAGAAGAGTATATATATTGATAATTTAGTTATCAGACCTAAGTGATATTGAAGGGGCAATGGACCAATCAACATACTTTTTCAAAAATGTTGACCTAATTTTCACCAAAAATGCAACTTTTTTTATATTGCTGAATGCATAATTAGAATGTGCTTTGAGACATGTTCGATTTCCTAAAAGGAAAAATTGATTGCTCATGGGACTTTAAAGATACTGAATTTGGATGACCAAAATGAACTGAAACCAATGGATAGCATGAGATTTTTCAATTTTTCTATTTGATACATTAAAATAGAGAATAGTAATGCATTCAACATTGTAAAAAATGATTGCATTTTTGGTGAAAATGGGGTCAACATCTTTGAAAAAGTGTGTTGATGAGTTGATTGCTAGTTAAATATCTCCGAGTTTGTTTGACTTTATTATAACTGTATATAATTTTATTTGAGATAAAGAATTGATCTTAAAGATAAACCTGTCTTCATTGTCAGAAAATAGTCATAATCTAAAATATAACCTTCTGACATTGTTTGCGATAACGTACGTGCTCCTTTAGTTTAGTTTTAATTGCTATACTGTGTGTCTCAAAAAATGTTACACTTACAAAAAGTTCAATATCTTTCATAATTTTGACTTTTCCCCTAAAATGTACTTTGAATATCAAAAGACAAATCTTTTTCGAATAATTTGACACCATCAGATTCAAAATCTGTCCTTGATTGGCTCCACAGGACAGCTTTTAGTGTCCCATGGTAAAATCTGACTTGCGCCAACTTCTAAGTGATTGGATGGACCAAATGACAAAAGAGGAACAGTTTCTTTAACATTTAACTTTCTTCTGAGTAGAAGCTTGACCTTTAACTCAATCATTCTGTAATTTTCCTATTTGTCGTACATATGATCATTTGGTCTATCCACATAAACATGTGGTCCCCTCAACATGTTCTCCAAAGCAAATCTAAGATACCCTTGCCCATGCGCACACGCATTGTAATATCACACTGGTTCTATCAATTAATTTTGCTCAAGTTCATTTAGGTCAGTTTGTGATGCTGTAAAGCCCTTTCAGAGGCCCTTCAAAAATCAAGGGTGTAAAGTGGGATGACCCTGGGGGCCAATCCATTTTGTAATTCAATGCTATCTACCAAAAAATCTGCCACAGGCCTTTGCACCATCCTGTTGCCACCATACGTAACAAAATTGAACAACCTGACAATGAAATCTTGTATTTCTATCCAGGAAACAACTGGATCATTGATCATATCAAGATATCACTGTCCACAGCATTCACACCAAAAAAGAATTGATCACCACATATCCAAGCACTGAGAAGTTGGCGCAAATCAGATTTCATATGCGTCTATAAAATCTGTCCTGTGCAGCCAATCATGGACGGATTTTGAATCTGATGGTGTGGATTTATTCGAGAAAGACTGGTCTGTCGGTATCTAAGTATATTTTAGGGGAAAAGTCAAAATCATGAAAGATATTGAACTTTTTGTAAGTGTAACCTTTTTTGAGACACACTGTATAACAAAATAAGTTAAATCAAGAAGCAAAAGTCTTTTCTGGGTCACTGCGAATGGCATGATTTCCTCGAGTCGCTTCAGTTGCAAGGCAACCATACTGGGACCGATTCGCGTCGTTCCACTACTGCCCTTGGTGGGGGCCCGCTACCATACTGTATGACTCCCGGCGTCTACTATAGCCCATAAGTGGAGGAACCAACCACAGTCGCACAATCTGTCTCCGACAAGAGCAGTCAGAGAACCGACCCATGCCAAGGGCCGGTAAACGGTTGGACCTTCGGGCCGAGTGCCCTGTAGAACTATTATCAAGAACGCCGTACCTGAGGCTCGAACGCGGGACCTTGTATCCCTCAGTACGCACGACCACAGTCACTAACCACCTAGGCTACACTGCTCAGGTGTCAACATTGCTCAAAGAAGTAATAATTATACCGGTTGTCCTGTATTGCAATAATTAAAAATACTCCGTACCCGCGGCTCGAACGTGGGACCTCCGTATCCCACTACGTTCGACCACGATTAGTCTCTAGTCTCTACGCCACGAGGCTACATTGCTTAGGTGTCAGTACTCCTAAAAAAGAATGTAGTTGTTATAATTATTTGCTTGAGTTGACATAAAGTAAATGTATTTTAATTAATTAACCCTATTTAAAAGTTGGAGTCGAAGTTTACATTTTTGATCGAGGAAACGCAATGAGCTCTTGCAAATGATAACAGTAGTCACAAAGCAAGGCTGTACAGAAAGTACAGGTTTGGCAGAATATTTAAGATCCATCAGGAATGAGAAACACCGCAATATATAGAGAAAAACATTTTGAGCGTTGTTGTATATATGGTAATTCGAAATTTCAATTGCGTCTCAAAGAAATGAAAAGGGCAATCGGCTACAGTATAAAGTAAGCGTGTATATGAGTGAAAACATTTAATAACGACATGTCCACATCGGTCAATATAATGGAAAGAGAAAATAAGCTATTTTCACGATTTCGGCGCATTGAAATAATTAATCGGATTACGTTCAGTGCTAATAAGTAAAACGCGTGGCTAGCACAATCGTTGTAATTGATGCAGTTCGAGAAGGCCAAAAAACTTCATCTACAAATCTGAACTGAACATTCAATCATGACATGAACTATTCAGTTAAGACGTAACTGCATAAAACATTTAACCGACAGGCCCGTAGCCAGGATTTGACAAGGGGGGGGTTCACTTTTTGAAAAATTCCAGGGGGGTTCACTTGTGACAATTTTGGTCAAAAATGGCCAAAATCACTTAAAAAGTGCTCAAAATGGTGAAAAACTGCATGATTGTGAATGATTTTTTGACCAGGGGGGGGGGGGGTTCGCCCGAACCTTGCGACCCCCCCCCCCCCTGGCTACGGGCATGGACCCGTTTACTATGGCATAAAACATTCAATTAAAGAATTTTTCAAGGTTCGTCTGCAAAAATAAAACACATTGTCAGTATCCGCTCACATTCCCCTCTAT